AGGAATTCCAGACACCCTCCAACTCCCCCACCCATGAAAGCCAGGGTGGAGTATCCTGCCCTTTGCCCACTGAGAGTGCCCTACCCTGAGGAGGGAAGGGTTTCAGCTTCTATCACCAGGACACTCGTGCCCAGGCAATGCACCTATTCCAGGCCCAGGCGGGATCCTGGCAGGAGCACCCTTCATTGTTTGACAAATTCTTCCTTTTGCTCAATGAACAGCATATAGTTATTAATTCCAGAAAGCCCACCTGGTAGACCCCATTGGTCCACCTCATTACTTGTCCGTGAGGCCCAGGAGTGTACAGCCTTCATGTCCTTCTGTCACCAGAGCCTTTCTCCTGCACGGGTGGAACTCAGCTCCAAGTGTGACTGTAGAATGAGGGCATTGGTACCTTTGTGTACCAGGAAAGAGGAAGTTCACCTGAGCAAGGCTGGCTTGAGGTCTCGGTGGATAGTGAGGGGTCTGACAGGCACCTGGAAACAGCAGAGGTTTCTGGAAGGTCCAGGATGAAGGGCTGAGTGGGGAAGCTACCAGTGCCCAGTAGGCACAATCTAAGAGAAGAAACCGACTGGTCCACTCACTCACCCCTGCAGCAGTGTATGACGGTCAGAAAAAAGGAACATGTCCTATTCTGCCAGTTGTAGCAAAAGCCAGGCTCTGCTACCTGGGCTGCAGAGAAAGGAAGGGTTTGTATATTTGTCTCTTCTGGGAAGCTCCAGCATCCACAGCATAGCTCTGGCCTCTGGCCATCCTGTGCCCTACATCAATTGGGCCAGATCAGTAGCAACATCTGACCTCCTGGATGTCCCAGCTGCTAATCTCACCTCCTCCCGAATGTGTGGTGTAGACAGGCCAGGAAAAGCAAGTGAGAAAACATTTAGAATAGGGCTCAAGATACCACCTGCACTCAGGACACAGCAGCTCCTGTCCGTGCTGAGCTATGAATGAAATGGAGTGAAATTCTGGATTGGTTGGAGGGATCTGGCCCAGGTTGTTATGACGTGACCAGGTGAGCTCAAGAGGCCAGACTGGCGTTAACACCAGAATACAGTGCCCACACAGAGCCTTGCCAGCTTCAAGTTGCTTCGGGGAGACGCTGTGGCCCTTTGCAGAAGGGCATGGGCATAGTAAGCACAGCCAATACTCACTGTGTACCGCACAGGGAAAGTACCTTGCTTGACTGCCAGAATGAGGCAGCAAGGTAGGAGGAATTCGCCTGTCATGATACCCAGGAAACTGAGGCTCAGGGAGGCAAGGTACCTACCCAGACTTGTCCAGAGATTGCAATCTGTGCATTCTGACAGGCTGCTTTGATATCAACTTTGAGCACATTAAGAATATCAGAAGAAGCTGGGCATGGTGGCATACACCTGTAATACCAGCCTCTGAGAGGCTGAGGCAGGAAGATTGCAAGTTAAGCCCAGCTCAGGCAATTTAGCAATTTAGCAAGAACTTGTCTAAATATAAAAAATTTAAAAAGGACTGTGGACGTAGCCTAGTGTGAAGGTCCTAGGTTTGATCCCCAGAAACTTCCTCCCCCCAGAAGAATATCAGAAGGCCTGGAGCTCCATGGTAGAGTGCATGCCACACATGTAAGGCCTTGGGTTCCATCCCTCGTACCAAGGGGAGAACAGAAATGAAAGAGAAAGAAAAAGAAAGAAAGAAAGAAAGAAAGAAAGGAAGGAAGGAAGGAAGGGAGGGAAAAAGTGTTAGTGTTTGTTTTTTTTTAAGAGCTATGTGTGGTGACACATATCTGTAATCTTAGCTAAGTGGGAGGCTGAGGCAGGAGGATTGCAAATTCAAGGCCAGCCTAGGCAATTTCGTGAAGACTCTGTCTCATAATAAAAATAAAAAGGAGTTTTAGTTAGTTCAGCAGTAGAGCTCTTACCAACCATGTGGAACAGTCTGGGTTCCATCCCCAGTACCAAAAAAAAAAAAAAAGTCACAAGATAGTGTTGCGGAGATAGTAAGAAATAGAAAGAGCATTGGATTTTATAGAAGCACTCAGAATCCTGAGTTTGAGGCCCGATGCTACCTCCTGCAGGGAGTGTCACTTTGGTGAAGCTCAGGTCTGGCATCTGTACAAACCAGGGAACAACACCTAAGTGATAAGCCTCTGAGGGGCTGTGTAATTCAGTGCCAGGCCAGCACTGGGTGCTCTGGTACCTGAGGTGAGTGGTATTGGTCCATGCCCATGTCTCATACACTACGCATTACTTTCCCACAAGGCCGGTAAAATGCAGTAAATCCCTGTATGCTGTAATGAAAACTTCCGGTCATTATTTCCTGATTCAAGAGTGTGAGAGGCCTGGAGAACTGTCACATGATTGCATCTTGCCTTGCCCTATGGTGATGGCTGCTCCAGGGAGTGAAATGGAAATGAGGCCCGGGCATCTTCCCACCAGGACCTCTCTTGAGATTAACACTGGACTCCGGTTTTTTAGAGCCAGACCTTGGAGTATACATTTCTTTGCTTTAGTTGAGTTGGCTTTTGCACGTTGAACCTTGTTTTTCTTCAGAAGGATCTCAGTTTATGGAGAAAGGGCTCCTTTTATCTTTATCCTGGCAGGAAGAAGGAGAGACTGCTATTTCCTAGCCCCACAACCAACTCTTCATTTGTCACCTGGCAGAAGTGGAATGTGGAGAAGAGGACAACAAACATGTTGGGTGTGGGTTGTTGGGAAGCTAATTTCATCTCACTTGAGTAGCTTGTGCCTGTGTTTTGTGGGCGCTTTGGAAAGAATCCTGCACGGTGGGAGCCATGGAAGTGCAGGATTCTGTTCTATTCAGCTCACTGGACTTGGTCAAATTAGATCAAGAAGCCAACCTGCTCCTCCCTGCCCCTTGTGAAAGGGTCTTGTTTAAGAGAGAAGATGAGCAGTTTGGCTAAGGAGGATCACTTTGTGAAGGATTAAGAATTCCTGAGATGATGGCAGTTGGGATTCCAAGTGGGCAGGATCTGCCCATGTGGGGCCAGCTGGAGGGCAGATGCTGCTCTGACAAAAGTGAACTATGGTGCAGACTTCCGGCCTTTCCACGGCCCTACTCACTCCCAGAACCTCACCTCACCTCATCCACCCTTCCTTCCTTCCTTCCCTCCCTCCCTCCCTCCCTCCCTCCTTCCTTCTTTCCCACCTCTTTTCTTCTCTCTCTCTTTTCATTTTAAGACAGGGTCTTGCTATGTCCCTAAGTAGCCGAGGCTGGGCTTGAACTTGCAACCCACCTCCTTCAGTCTCCCAGAGTGCTGAGACTATAGGTGTGCACCACCAGGCCTGGGTCTGCCTCACCTCTTGTTCTGTTCTAGAGACATCGTTGCTCTTGCTGGTCCTAGCCATTTTTCTAAGCTTGTTGCATCCATCTGGCTGTGGTAGGTGGAGGGGGTGGGGGAGTGTGCTCTTTCCCAGGCAGCTGGTCACAGAGATAGACTCTGTCTTATTCAGACTTCTCGAAAGCTTCTGCCAGGCAGTCGTAACCTAAGGCTCTCTTTTACCACAGACAAGTGCAGTGGCCCTTGCACACGATGCACAATACGAGAGCAGTCTCAGTTCCCTGTGGCCCTTCCCTGGCCATTTCCATCCTCATTCAGCTATTCATGTTTCTGCCCTCCTGCTGGCAAGAGTACAAGCTGTGTGCACCTAGAATCATAAAGATGGATTGGCTGATAACTGCATCTGTACAGTTCCTTTATTGAAAATCAGGAGCATCACATGTTCAAGCCCATCCTGAGCAACTTCAGGAGACCCTGTCTCAAAAAAAAAATTTAAAAAGAGCTGCAGTTGCAGCTCAGTGCAAAGGCCCTGGCTTCAGTCCCCAGTACCACAAAACAGACAGAGGGAGAGAGGGAGAGAGAGAGTGAGAGAGAGAGAAAGGGAGAGGGAGAGAACTGCATGTGGGAGAGTGTTCTAAAGTATTTGAATCCATATAGGAGTGTCACCACTCCCGAGGCATGCAATCCTGTCACTTGTTCTGACAATGTGTAGCAATCCTGCCCTCAGCAGATACTAGCTCCCTTGCATTTGCATCGCTGGGGCGGATTTTGATTCTAAATACAGATGCTTCCCATTTCCCCTTAGGTGAGTGACTTTATTTATCAGTTGCTTTCCTGACAGCAGAGTTCTAGGAGGGAAGTTGGAGAGGGAAGTGGTAGCACCGAGGCCAAGGAGGCTGAGGCCCCTGTGGCATCTGCCACCCTGGGTCGGTCCAACAGTCATGTTACTGCCACCCAGAATCAGTTACTGCCTGGTACCTGGCAGTGACTCCCTACCTCATCACCCTGCAGGAACGAATACCCTGTTTCTGGTGGTGCGATCGTCAGTTCTCCAAAACTGCACCTCTCACAGGAGGGCTGCTTGTACCAAAATCGCCCATGTCTTGTCACATGGCTCTTTCTCTCTACTCCACAACCATCATTTTTTGAGGTTATTCAGAGAATCCAGCAACATCCTTGTTGCTGTATCAGACAGGACTGCACACAGCTCTTCGGCAGGAAGGTTAGAGTTGCCCTGTGAGACAAACACACTTGCTGAAGCAGACAAGGCTGGCTGAGTATGGATGTACAGGTTAGGTACTGTACAGGGTGCCTGCTCACACACCCTTGGATCTAGGGTGTGCTTTATCTGCCAGACCATATGCTTTGTGTTTTTTTAATTTATAGAACCTGTCAATTTGCCAAGCCCTGAGTCTGCTTAACTGTACTCAGCAGAGACAGTGCCTCTTATAAAGCTGTAAAAATCTACTTTGTGTGCTAGTGTGGGCCAGCCAGGGCTGAGCTTTGGGGACTTGGAGACCGAAGGCCTTACATCTCTCTTTTCCTGTTGTACTCAGGGGTTCCAGTACAAGCCAGTCCTCCTCCCAGTTGGCCTCTCTGCCTCCCCCTCCCCTCCCCCCTCCCTCCCTCCCTCCCTCTTCCTTCCTTCCTTCCTTCTTCCCTTCTTCCTTCCTCTTTCTTGCTTTTCTATTCCTTAATAATACTAGGAAACTATTAAGTATAACAAAAGGAAGAGGATACAAGAGGAGAAAGTTGTGAGTCTTTGTGTTTATGAACTGAGTTTAGAAGGGCTTCTAACATTTAACCCGCGACCCCACCCACCTCCATGCTGATGTCTCCAAGGCTGTGACTCCACTTTAGTTGGGGAGTCTTGGCTCTGAGTGCCTGTTCTGATATTCACTTTGTTCTTTATCTAGGGCTATACTCTGCGCCCACACCTCCAGCAAAGACCAAACAAAGACACACTTTCCCCCTATGCTTCTCCTTTGTCTTTAGACTGTTTTTTCTGGGGCAGGATGACTCATTTCTGTGGTGCGCCCTCCAGCTGTGCAGTGTGAGAGCCTGGGCTGCTGGGCTGCAGGCCCAGGAGGTCAAAGGCTGAGGGAGATAAGGCCCAAGCTCCCACCCTCCCCAAGCACGGAGGGGACAGAAGAGGGGACCATGCTGAGTTCTGTGTCAGGTCTGTGGTTGTGGCAGGGCTGAACTTGGCACATCTGTGAGTCTGTACAGCAGCCTATCCTGCGGCCCCCCTGTGTCCCTGCCTGGCCCTACTTGCTGAGGAAGAGCCATTCCCTCAGGGAGGGCAGGGGTTGAGTGTGGCAAGACTTCGCTCTGCAGTCGCCCAGCATCTGCAGTCCTGCTCCATGTAGGTGGACCTGGAGTTCTCAGTGAAATAGTAACTTGGTGTCCAGAAAAAAGACTCGCAGGGTCCTGTGGGGTAGTGAATGGGTGGACTAGAAATGGGTGGTTTGACAGGCAAGATGGAAAAGAGGACTTCACTGTCCACTGATGTTCATTTACTCGTTTGTGTAATGAATTAATGCAGACTTCCTTCCAAAGTTCTGGGTAAGCAGAGCCCTCTCTGTTCCTGGCTGACCTAGGACTGGCTGCAAACAGAGAACCATGAGGGAGAAAAGGAAGAGTAAGTTTAAGATCTGTTTTAAAAGGTTATAAGTAAGGAGTAAAATTAAAAAGGGGGATTTAAGCAGAATTTTTGGAAAGGAGGAATTTGAGGAAAGCTGAGAAAGAGAAGATCTGGAAAATTTGCTGTGATCAGAAGATTCCACCATAAGGCTCCTGTTCTAGATGGCCTCCACCACCCACTTCCTTTCCTCTGGAACTACTTGAAGCCGGAGAGTTGGTGGCACAGCTGTCCCGAGTGAGAGAAGGCTCCAGAGTGCCCGGTGCCTCTGCCCAGGAGGAGGTCCTGGGCATGTGAAGGGAAAACGCGGGCCCAGAAGTGCCCTCTGTCCCCTTGCCAGGTGAAGGGTAGGGAGGGGGCCAGATCTTGGGTGTGTCCCAACTCCTGCTGGCCCCTGCTGGCCTCTCCCTCTCTTGGGCCTGTCACTAGCAGCCCAGAAAAATCAGCCGGGCAGAACCATCTCCCACCTCACCTACCCTTTCAGGTTGCATCCTGGCCCCGAGGGAACTTTTGGCCTTGTGAAGGGCCTGAGTGGCACTTCCAAAAGGAACACTCTTCACAGACACAGAGGGCAGATGGCCTGGAGCGGAGGCTGGGGGAAGGGTGAGAACCAGCTGTTGTGACTGAAGAGAAATGAGTCAGGGGAAGAAAGGATGCAAGTGAGAAGCCTGCAGACCACAGCCCAACACCCAATCAACAAACCTACTTTCAGCCACTGAGGGCAGGGTGGCTGGAAACTGGGAATGTGGGGGCCAGGAGGATCTGAGTCTTTGACCAAAAACCCGATGCTGCTTCTACTTTGGCAAATCTGCATTTTGCTGGCTCTGTCAGGACACATTCTGATGGGTCAGTGGGAGGGGGCTGGAGTGGAGGGAGTGAGCCTTTGTGGGAAAGGCAGCAACTCCGAAGTGGCCCCATCCGAGAAGAGTGTGAGCGGAGCAGGCTGAGAAGAGTGGCCAGTGATGGCCATGCCCACTGTGAAGTCCCTGAAGCGTTCTCTGAAAAATCAGGGGATGTCCAGCTGCATCTAGCCAACCCCAGGGTGGGAATTCCCTACCAGGAAACCAGGCCTGTGTCCCTGGGCTGCCAAAAAAGTGCCAGGGATAGTCTTGCCCTTCAGCTCACAGAAATCCTGGGCAAAATGATCGTCCAGCAGCCAAAGCACCCATCAGAAGAGTGGATAAGCGAGGCGAGGTCTACCCAGAAAGCAGACACCTTTCGCCACCCCACTTCAACATGGGGACTCCTCAGGGCACCATGCTCAGTGAAGTAACCAGGCCCAAAGTGCAAACACTGCAGGCACCCACTTGTGTTACATGTGCAAGCTGTCAGAGTCGCAGAGACTGGTAGGAGAAGGCGGTCACCAGGGCTGCAGAGGAAAGCTGTTCTCCAGTGGCTGCAGAAACCTGGCTCAGGATGGTGATGCCCTGGGATGGCTGGTGGTGACAGCTGCGTGACAACGTGCATGTCCTTAACTCCACTGCACTGCACACTCAAACATGAGTAAGGTAGTGCATTTATTCTGTGTGTTTTATTACAATAGAAATACATGTGCAAGTTTTAAAATCACCTTTCAGACCCTCTGGAGGATTTGGCTGTGAAAAGCTGCAGCCTGGAACTTGGATATACTCTTCGTCCTCCTCTCCACATGCTCACACTCTTTTTCCTCTTCTCACAGAGCTGAAGGACGCTGAGAAAATGAGAATGAGGCAAGAGCTCCTATGTGTGCTGCTGCTTTGTGGAGCCATCTCTACCCTACCCAGCCAGGTGCCTGTCCCTCGCCCCTGTGGACCCTGAGGCGAGGCTGCCCCAGTGTGTCCTCCAAGCACCTGTGGTGGCCAGGTGTCCAACAGCAGAGATGTGAAGGGACAGAGACCTGCGTGGCCCAGAACACGCATATACACGCTCCCCTCTGGACAGTGTTGGGATTCAAGTCCCAGCAGCAGACCTGGATGTTTATTCTGACTGAGCAACAGATCTTACTCCCACTCCCCTCCCTCTGCTTTCTTTGGAGTTTTTTAAAATAATGTGTTTGCATTTAACCCATAAAACACTTATAAAAGGCACCCCAAGGACCTTGAGGCATGTGAGCCAGCAAGCTGCCCCTATGGGATACATGCTTCCTGGAACATCTGGCAATGGGACACCTTGTATGAGGGAAGGAGCAAGGCCTCTGCAGCAGGGCTGTAGAGAGGGGCAGCCTTCCTGTGGAGGACACAGGGAGCTACAATGGCACTATCCAGGGTAGTAGCCACTAATCACAGGCAGCTGTTTAAATCTAAATTAACTAAAATGGAACAAAATTTAAATTCAGTTGCTCACACTAGCCACATTTCAACCCCTCCTTGGGCACCTGGGATTAGTGGCTATTATATTGGAAGCACAGATAGGAAACATTTCCATCTTAGAAAATGTTTTCTGGACAGCGCTAGGATAGGAGGAGAGGAAGGGTTACAGATAAGGCAGGAAATGGCCATTGCCTCTGGGCCAGGAACCCCCTGGGGTCATCTGACCACCAGGTCAGGCAGATCTGTGGGAGGTCTTTTTGTGGCCTGTGCTGACCTCTGTCCTTCCTGGTCTCTTTGCAGAAAACCCACACCCGCTTCAGGAGAGGTGCCAGGTCCTACAGAGGTAAGAGGAAGCCGTGGTGAAGGGATAGAGATGGGAGGCCAGGGCAGGGGTTGGGGGCCAGAACACCAGGTGGCCTGGATGTGCCAAGAGCTCATGCCTCTGTGAAGGTGATCTTCCAGAGGGATCTGCAAAGGTGCCAGTCAGCTGCAGGCAGATAGCCAAGTTTTGGGAGGAGGAGCCAGGCCATTGGGGGTCCCAAAGCTGGTGGGAGCCTAGCACTCAGTGGCCCAGAGGGTTTGTTACACTGATGAGAAAACAAGGCCCCAAAAGACTGCACAACCTACCTAAGGCTGGACAGCTACCAGGCCCAGAACCACAATGGCTGCTGTCCAGGCCCTCTGGGTCCTTCAAGCTGCCAGGGCCACTCAGCCATTGTTAGCTGGCGTCTCTGTTTCCTTCTCTTCCCATTGGTAAAAATGAGGATAACTTGCCTGGACTATGTCACAGACAGAGTGTGGCAAAAATCCCTTCCTAAGGTCCACAGCTTCTATCCAAATTCCAAGGACAAAAATGCTCATGGCCCCTTAGTCTTGATTTGAAGTGCTCTAGGCCCCATTTCAACTTGGTTGGATCTGGAAGACATCAACCCCTTCTCTCTTCCCCACTTCCTGCAGTACTGGGGATTGAACCCAGGGCTTCCAAACTCCACATTCCCAGTCCCTTTAGTGTCTTCCTAAGTCACTAGATTGATTGCACATGCTGTGCTTGAACTTGGTGATCCTCCTGCTTCAGCCTTCCACAATGCTGCAATTACAGGCTTGTGCCACCATGCCTGGCCACAGCACTTTTAAAGTGGAATCTCCTCAAATGAGTCATCCTGGCTCATACTGGTTTCGCTGATGGAGAGCAGAGACTCCTGTCAGGGCAGCCTGGCCTCCGCAGGCCTTCAGAAGCAAGGGCATTGTCTCCAGGGAGCATATGTCACTGCCTACATTAGTTAAAGTAGATTTTAAAAATTGGCATTCTAGTTTGAAAATAGAGAAAGATAAAATATCCGCAGAACTACTTCAACTATTTTCATTTTATCAAAAATACTATAGGAAGCAGCACATTTTCTGTACATTTTTCAGACTAAAAGATCCATCTTCTCTCTTGGGGGCCAAAAGTTGCATTTCTATGTAATAATACTCATGTGAATAAACAATTCTAATAGGCATGTGTACTCTGATGGATTAAAATGAAAAGTTACAGGGGCTGGGGATTTAGCTCAGTGGTGCTGCTGCCTCCCTTGAAAGCACAAGGTCCCGAGCTCGATCTCTGGTACCAAAAAAAAAAAAAAGAGAGAAAAAAAGAAAAGAAAAGTTGCAGTATCACTTAATGCATGTTTTGTTTTTTGTTTTTTGTTTTTTTTTTGGTACCTGGGATTGAACTTGGGACTTTGTGCTTGCAAGGCAGGCCCAGAACCACTAAGCTAAATCCCCAGCAATGCATGTATTTTGATTGATAAATGCTTTCAAAACAAGGGCTCACCAGAGGGAAAACAATAAAAGTGGTCTTTGGTGATAAAATGTTAGGTATCCATTCCTTTCCACTTGTATCCCTAAGGGACACACAACAGACTACAGCCATCCCTTGGTATCCACAGGGACCAGCTCTAGGACCCTGAGGCCCTCTGGTCCCCCAGATCCTTGAGTCCCTCTTACAAAATGACATAGCCCTGCATTCCCATAGCACCAATGCACATCTTCCCGTACACTTCTGTCACCTTTAGACTTCTGGTACAATGGAAATTCTTTAGTGCCATATAAATATAAATGATTGGGCCGAGGATTTAGCTCAGTGGTTCCACCGCTTGCCTCGCAAGCACAAGGACCTGAGTTTGATCCCCAGTACCAAAAAATAAAAATAAAAAAAATGTATAAATGATTGCTGTGCTATACCATGTAGGGAGTGCCAGGGTATGCCTGTACATGTTCAGCCGTCCAAGGCCCAGGTTAGTGGAACCCATGGATGCAGAAACAGCCACACAGAGAGTGGATTGCATGTCCAAAGCAAGAGAGATTTTTCTTAGTAGGCTGGGGTGAGAGTCTTTGCAAAATCACATTCTGACAAGGCCAACCTGTCTGTGTTGCAGTGACCTGCAGGGATGAGAAGACTCAGATGACTTACCAGCAGCACGAATCATGGCTGCGCCCCCTGCTCAGAGGCAACCGGGTAGAATTCTGCTGGTGTAATGGTGGCAGGCCACAGTGCCACTCGGTGCCTGTCAAGGGTATGTGCCCATGCCAGCCCAGGCTCCGGGGAGACCCCAGGCCTGCCCTGCTGTGGGCAGAGGGGAACAGGCACAGTGCATGGCAGGGAGACTGGGAGCTCAGAGCGAAGTCTTCCCTTGCCCAGCCTCAGTTTCCTCATGTGAACGGGGGAGAATAACAGTACATATGATATGGCTTGAGTTCATTTTGGGAACTGAGCAGAACAGGCTGGCATGCAGAGGGCACTCTGAAAACGGCAGCTCATGCTGTCCGTGCAGCAGCTCAGAAAGTGACCAGGGTTTCCTTGTCTTTGCCCGACAGGCTGCAGCGAGCCCAGGTGTTTCAACGGGGGAACCTGCCGGCAGGCCCTGTACTTCTCAGACTTTGTCTGCCAGTGCCCTGAAGGGTTTATGGGGAAACGCTGTGAAATAGGTGAGTTCAGAGGTGTGTAGGCACTGCACCCCTGAGCCCCAAATCAGCCTGGAAAGGAAAGGAAGCACGAGGTGATGGGGCCAGGCGAGGGCAGGGGACAAGGAAGGGCTGCTGGAGGCAGGGTTAGAGCCTGGGTGCTGCCTGAGGTGCTACAGAAGCCCTCTGAGCAGCAGGGGCCTCACACAGAGGGGCTGCACCCTTTTCTCCATCAGATGCCAGAGCCACATGCTACAAGGACCAGGGCATCTCCTACAGGGGCACGTGGAGCACAGCACAGAGCGGGGCTGAGTGTGTCAACTGGAACAGCAGCGTGCTGGCCCTGAAGCCCTACAGTGCTCGGAGGCCAGGCGCCATCAAGCTGGGCCTTGGGAACCACAACTACTGCAGGTGAGAGCTACCCTCCTGCCATCCTCTGGCCTCTAATGGGGAAAAGACCTGCAACCCATCAGTCAGGCTCTCTAGAGAAGCAAGCAGTGCAGCACGGACTGGCACTTGAGGCTGGTTCACAGCGTTGCTCTGCCTGAGGTCCATGTGCAGGGCAGCAGGTGTCAGAGTCTCAGGTGTGGAGCGTCACCTGCAGGCCCAGCTCTAGTGTCCACTGTGAAGGCCTAGGTGTCTAAGCCTGGGAACTGCCTTTCAGAGGTCCACCCATGTTACTGGGGATAATCTCACAAACATCGACTGATTGCAGATGCTAACTGCAGCCACAAAGCACCTTCCCAGCCACACCTGAATTAATGTTTTGCATTTACCTGGCACTGTGGCCTAGCCATGTGACACACGGGGCTGGCTCTGTTGCCCACCCCGATCACTTTGGCACTTATGTTCATTTCCTTAAACCACATTTAAACTTCACATAAAGACAACTAAGTCATATTTCTGCCAAACATGATACAGCTATCCACTACCCAACCCAAAATGCACCGTTTCCCTCAATGGGGTATGCAGAGTCCTGGTGTCTGAAAGGAAGCTTCAGTCTTAACCTTCCCTGACCTCCTTGGCTGATTTTGCAGAAACCCAGACAAAGACTCAAAGCCCTGGTGCTATGTCTTTAAGGCAGGAAAGTACACCTCAGAGTTCTGCAGCACGCCAGCCTGCTCCAAGGGTAAGTGACAGCCACACTCCTGCCCCTGTGGTTTCAGGAGAAGCATCGGGAGGACAGGGCTGACAGTCCTTCTAAAACCAAGGACAGGAAGGAGTAGGCTGGGAGGTGCTCATTATGGTTGCAGAGGGAGCCGTGTCAGTAGACTTAGATACTCACCCAGGTTGGCCTGTGCTTCTGTGTGACCTTGAGCTGACCTCTTCAGTCCCCTGACCTTCCGTCTCCTTACCTAGAGGAGAGAATGGGGCTAAATCAGTGGTTTCCAGTCCTTTTTGAGAATGAATGGATATTCTTTTTTGTATTAATAGGACTCTCTCAAAACTTTGAATGTGAAATAATTTCCCAGAATGAAAAATTACCAAGTTTAAAAAGGCACTATGAATTTGGTGGTGTGTTCACAAATGATTATGTCATTTATCATGACAGCATGAAAGATTTTTAAGTGCCACACACAAAAATAAGGTGGATTCAATCTGCAGGTCTACAGGTAATGCCAGTATACCTGTGAATGAATACGAAGACTCTTGACAATTCTAAAGCATCCTCCCCATCCCCAGTGATTTGGTCAAATTTGCAGTTACAGATTGAGATACTCTCACAGATCCTTTCTAATTATGGCATTTATATGGAGAGGTGTATCCTGTCAGTTTCAAATGGGACAAAAGAGGTAAGGATAAGGCAAATAGATGAAACCCGGTGGCACTCTAAGGCTCATACTGTCTCCAAGCCCAACAAGTGCTTCAGAGCACTGGCAGACCAAATCTAAGAAAGCAGGGCTTGCCAGCACAGCTCCTATCGAAGGCCATGCAACCATCAAGTACAAACAGGAAACTCCTAGTTACATTTAAAGCAGCTCCAAAAGCCCATGCTACAGTCGTGACCTGAATAGACAGCCCCGGGAACATCTTGCATACAGCACCCAGGAAGCCAAGTCAGCTGATGGAAGCTGGTACCTGACATGAAGTCTGTGTCAGCTTTGTGTCAATATAACACTTTCCCGTGATAGTCAACTTTTTTTTTTTTTTGTACCAGGGATCGAACTCAGGACCTTGCCCTTGCCAGGCAGGCGTGGTGCCACTGAGCTAAATCCCCAGCCCCAGTAGTCAACTTTTGAAACAGAGAAAAGGTGTATTGTGGCTCACAGTTTTAGGGGCTTAGCCTGTGATTAGTGAGGCGTATTGCTGTGCTCCTGTGGTGGCACACTGCAGCAGGAGCAAGTGGTAAAGCAGAACTACTCACTTCAATGCCAGCAGACAAGACAGAAAGGCAGAGCCGAGAGTATCCAGTCCCCTTCAAGGACACGCCCCCATTGACTAAAGACCTCCCATTCCCCTTCAAGGACATACCCCCAGTGAATTTACAGACCTCCCAATAGGCCCCACCTCCAGCAGTACAGAACTGGGGATCAGGCCTTTATCATATGGGTATTTGGGAGACACTTAAGATTCAAACTGTAGCAAAATTCACTTGCCATCTCTAGATAAAGTGCTTGAAGAGAAAAAAAGGGAAATTGGAGAGACCACAGCCTTCTCCACATGGGAGTGGCCACATTAATATTCCCAGCCAGGGAATGACTCAGACTCAGCTTGCCTCCTTCATCATTTGACTATCTTGTTTCAGCTGGAGATTTCTTTTGTTCCAGGAAAGAATGAGGACTGCTACTTTCGAAACGGGTCAGCATACCGTGGCACCCAGAGCCTTACCATGTCTGGTGCCTCCTGCCTCCCATGGGACTCTGTGATCCTGAGGGGCAGGGGTTACACTGCATGGAGGTTCAACTCCCAGGCTCTGGGCTTGGGCAGACACAATTATTGCCGGTAGGTAGCACAGGGTCAGAGGGGTCCAGGCCTTGGCAGAGGGAAGAGTGGGGTGTGAGACGGAGAGGATTTAATGCTGAAGGTTATGTGAAAAGTTCATCAGGCTCAGATGGAACTGTGGACATTACCTAGCCAGTGATGGCAAACCTTTTAGAGTTTTCAATGATAATAAACAGTTGGCTGTGGCATGCATGCCATAGGCTCACCACCACTGATCTAGGCGAACCTATTCTTCTAGGATAACACTTAGTTTTGAAAATCAAGATACCCCAGTGTTCCTGCCCTGATCCCTGGACACAGGTCCTGTCCCATCCCATCAGTCTCCTCTGTGCCTGTGACACTCTTACTGCAATGTGTTGTGCGAGTTTCTTCGCAGAACAGCTCCTAGCTCCTCCCAACATGCCTATGAGATGAAGGCATGTTTCTGACAGAAAAGCAAAGTCAAAGGGAAGTTTCTTTTCCTGTGCTTGGAGTTTGACTTAGGATCCCCCCTCCCAGCTCAGAGTGTGTGCCCTTGGTTCACCCAGCCTCGTCCAACCCTCCTGCAGCCTGTGACATGAGTGGAAATGGGCCTGCCTAATGGCCTTAAAATCCCTTCTCACCTAGGAACCCAGATGGGGATGCCAAGCCCTGGTGCCATGTGCTGAAGGACCGCAAGCTGACCTGGGAATACTGTGATCTGCCCCAGTGCTGTAAGAGTGGCCCCTGGGTACCTCTCTTTGCCTAGTCTCACTTCTGCACTGTTCCCTGAGCTGCCCCATTCAGACTGTGGAAATGCCGGGCTTCAGGGGCTGGGCCTTGGTGGGGAGAGGCCTCCGTAGCCACGCAATGGTGGGCAGAGATGCACTGAGCAAGGGCACAAGGGAAGGAGCCAGAAGAAGGCAAAGAGCACACCGATTTTCCTCTGAAGGTCCTCTCAGGGTGCCTCTCTGGAGAGGACTATAATGGATGTGAGGAGGGGAAGAGACCTTAGAGAAGAGGGTAATTTTGCCATTCTCCCGATCTCTGGAGAGATCAGGAAATGCACCCTCAGAAGTCATGAATGGCCTGCACAGGCTTCTTGGGCTCCAAGAGGCAAAGCTGGGACCTGTCCCATCTCTAATGATTGCACTTCCATATTTTCTGAAGAACCCACTTATCACAGGGGAGCTGGGTTACAATAAGGGATGAGAGACAGAATTTTCAAGTTGATAAGCTCTCAAAAAGTAAAACTTTAGTTTGGAAATTGCCTGAGAATAGATTTCTCAGTTCCTGTAACACAAAGATGAGCCAGGATGTTCCTGAAGGAATGCAAGGTCTAACTGGGAGAGGAAGACACGAACCCTCAGTTAACTCCCCACGTGGTCACAGTGGTGCGTCCTCAGGGAGCCACTCAGCAAGGTGGCTGGGCTGCTAAGGAAGCACCTCCTCCTTTGCAGAGGGGAAGTTTCTCCTGAGACTCACGAATGGGAAAGTTTGGGCAGATATAAAAGAAATATGCAGAGGTTCCTCAGAAGGAAGTTCGCAACACTTCATTATTTCTTGGCCAGGAGATGGCCACAGCAAAAACTTAGACTGAAGCAGAGCAAAAAGATTCTCAGGTTGGGAGTCAAATAAACCTGGGTTCTACTCCAGGTGCCACTGTGATCTTGGGTGACAATTTCTCAGCTTCCTTGACAGGTGGGCCAGGAGGGATAAAGGCAGTGTGTGACACATTACCTCACATGTGTGCCAGTGAACTAAACAAGTGAGAGCTGTTTCTGACAGTGTGGACACTGTCCTGTCATTCTGCATGAGCTGTGGAAGGGCAGTGGCCCATGGACAAAATTGCCCCAGCAGGGCAGGTCTGATTTCCCTGTGTTTTCTCCTCTAGCCACCTGTGGCCTTCGCCAGTACCAGCAGCCACAGTTCCGCATTAAAGGTGGACTCTACTCAGACATCGCCTCGCATCCCTGGCAGGCTGCCATCTTCATTGGGAACAAGAGGTTGCAGGAAGACAGGTTTCTGTGTGGGGGAGTGCTCATCAGTTCCTGCTGGGTCCTGTCAGCTGCCCACTGCTTCCTGGAAAGGTAGGGGCCAGGAAAGGCCGGCAGGGCTCTCTACTCTCTAAGGCCTTTCGGCCAGGCACACGGGAGTACATTTCATAGCCAAAATAGCATTCTAAAGCTGTTTCTCCGTTAGGTATTCCCCTCACCTCCTTAAGGTGGTCCTGGGCAGGACATACCGGGAGGTCCCTGGAGAAGAAGAGCAGAAATTTGAAGTAGAAAAATATATCCTCCATAAGGACTTTCATGAGGACACTTACGACAATGACATCGGTAAGACATTACTGTCCTCTGCCCAGTTCGCACTCCAGAACACACAGTGAACCCCACACATGTTCTCTCAATGACTATGTTCACCCTTGCTCCATTTCCTGAGAAGGGCTCCTCTCTGCATGCTCATCTCCATCCCTCTCCCTCCCAGCCCTGCTGCACCTGAGGTCAGACTCGCTGCACTGTGCCCAGGAGAGTGCCACAGTCCGCACAGCCTGTCTTCCTGCCGCCGACCTGCAGCTGCCCGACTGGACAGAGTGCGAGCTGTCTGGCTATGGCAAGCACGAGGCATGTAAGTGGAGGGAAGTCTCAGCATCCTGTCCATCTGCAGGGCACAGGGCATGTGGTGGTTGAGCAAATGGGGGAAAAGATGATGGTGAGTAAATATGGGTAAGGCCCCTGCCCCCCATGTGTGAGGAAAAGGCAAAAAGCTTGAATGGTGCAAGTGTTCTGAAGAGCTTAAACTCCAAGAAGGTTGTGTATAGTGGTGAAGGGTGTGGGTTTTGGATTCTGGAGCTGTGGAGGGCTGAGTTCAAATCCCTTATCTCTATCTTGCTTAGCTGTGGGCCCTTGGATGTGTTTGTTCATTAGTTTTCTGTTGATGTAACAAATACTTGGGATAAACCAGCTCTCACTGTTTTGGAGTTCTGGGTCTGTGGGCCTGTGGCAAGGTGGATCGTCATGTTGGGTGCTTGTAGCACAAGAGGCTGCTCATCTCGTGCCAGCCAGAAAATTAAGAGAATTCAGACCCCTGGTAGCACACCCTTGGCATCCCAGCACTCTGGGAGTTCAAGCCCAGTGTAGGCAACTTAGCAAGACCCTGTCTTCTCACAACAAAAAACAGATACAAAACTGGAAGTGTAACTTGTGCAAAGGGCCAGGGGTCAAGCCCCAGTACCACAAGGTGTGTGCGTGCCTCTGTGTGTGTATGTGTGCACGTGCATGTGGAGGGGGCCCAGGACCCCCATATTCTCTCAAGGGCACCCCCAGTGACCACCAGGCTGCACCTCCTCAAGGCTCTATCACCTCTCAGAAGCACCTCAGGCTGGGAGCCAAGCCTTCCACACTGAGTATTGGGGACCCTCAAGACCTAAACCATAGTACTAGAGCAGTGTTCTTGTTTTTGTTGGATGCAGGGTCTTGCTAACTTGCCCAGGCTGGCCTTGATCTGATGATCCTCCCATCTTAGCGAGTACCTAGGATTACAGGCACACACCACCACACCCAACTTGGCCATGAATTTTGTATTTTAAACTGCCCCAAGCCTGCTTCCACACTGCCAAGGTGGACACAGTTTGAACTTCTTGACTAGATGATAGGATCACATGAGATAACATTCTATTAAACTGGTGATCCTGCTACCCAAGAAACAGTAGGCATGTCTGGCTGCAACCTCTGTGGCTGAAGGCTGACACTGGCATTCAGTGAGTGCAGCCCAAGAGGCTGCTAAACAAGGTACGCAGGAGTCCTCTGCCAGGACAGTGTCAGCTGCACTGCCATCACAGAACCCACCGAACCCAGTAGAATCACTGTTTTTGTAGTCAAAACAATAAAATACTGGCAGTGTCCCAGGCTAACTCAACACATGCAAATGGTTGATAAACATTAGCTGTTATTGGAATTTTTGGTTTTCCCTTTCCAAAATGTTCCAAGTAACTTTCTGTACAACTGTGAGACATTTCCCTCTCTTTCAGCCTCTCCTTTCTATTCTGAGCAACTGAAGGAGGCTCATGTCAGACTGTACCCGTCCAGCCACTGCACATCACAACACCTGTTTAATAAAACTGTTACACACAACATGCTGTGTGCTGGAGACACTCGGAGTGGAGGGAACCAAGCAAACCTACACGATGCTTGCCAGGTAAGTGTGAGCATCCTTCCATGCTCTGTGCCTTCTTGGGATAAAACATTCCTCAGCCAATGGGCTCTTAACCAAGGAAAGGACTCAGGGCCCAAGTAGAATGATTTCATCTTGTTGAGGCCCTGGAAATTCCAGATGAGGGCATCAGAGAGTAAAGCAATTGGAGAAAGATCAAAGTTGCCCAAATTTAAGAAATATAAACTGCAGGAGGCCAGGGATTTAGCTCAGTGGTTTCGCCGCCTGCTGTGCAAGCACAAGGACCCGAGTTCAATCCCCAGTACCAAAAAAAAAAAGTAAACTGCAGGAAATTTCCCCAGTGTCTGCACAGGAAACTCCACCTGGCACAGGATTTCCTGTGAGCCAGGCAATTGAAGTGATAGGTGAAGCAACATACCTTAAAAATAACTTCTGCAGCTTCTAGAGAACTGGAGTTTGCTCCATGGTAGGACCAAGAGAAAAGCAACTTGCTGGGAAGCAGGATGTAGATTCTTCTGAGAAATGAGTTTTAAAAACTCATATTCAGCCCTTATACCCCAGGAAGAAAACTATCCAGGTTCTCTGTACTGGGATCCTTATCAGAGTTTGCACTTGTATTTCAGAATTAACAAGATAGGCACAGGGTCTGATGCACCTGCTGGCACTAAGGCCTGAGCATGGCTGAGGCACTCCTACTGCTCACACTTGAGTGCCTGAGGCATGTCAGGCCCTCCTTTAGGGCTGCGGCAGTGAGGTACAGAGAGTTTCCTGCCTAAGACGCTTTGTGGGCTTTGCTGGTGTAAGGTAGTATCAGCGATTTCCCCTTGGTTCCTTAACAGTACTCGGTCTCTCTGTGTACGGTTTCTTCAGAAACCTCAACTGTACCACCTAGTCACAGTCAAAACGAAGTTGTACACAAAGTGAAACCTCAAACTGTCTGCATGCTTAAAAGTTAAAAACAAAACCAAAAACATCATTTTGATTTAATATGACAAAAACAGCTAATAGTTACCAAGAGTTTTCCTGTCGTTCATTGTTCTCAGCACTTTTCATTCATCCTCCCAAATCCAGGAGGATTTCCTACCTCAGGAAGTAGACAGTATTATCTGTGTTTCCAGTTAGGAAACTGGAGCTCAGCTGGTGTCTTAGTTACTTTTTCCCATTGCTGAGACAAAATACCCAACACCGAAAGTTAAAGAAGGAAAGGTTTATTTGGCTTATAGTTTGTAGAGGTTTCAGTCCCGCCAGCTGGCTGGCTCCAAGGCAGGGTGGCGTGGTAGAGAGGCATCATAGAGGAGAAACAGTTCATGGCAGGCAGAAGACAGCAAGCGACAAGGTACAAGAGACCAGAAATCCTCTTTCTGTCCTTTATATCTTAGGCTATCCACCCTTAGGGCAGGTAGCGCTCACACCCAGGGTGGGGCACCCTTAATCCTACCCAGGACTGTGCCAAACCAATTAGTGGACTAATTTAGTAATTGCACACCCTTGATCCCAGCCTCATACACTCTAGATCCAGCCAGTTCTGAAAAGCCCTATGAGTGCATGAGGCTTTTTGGAGGAAATCTAGACACAAGCCATAACAGTTGGCAAGTGGTAAAGTCAATTATCCTATCAGTGCTGAGGCTGGAACCTAGGGTATTGTACATACTAGTACATGCTAGACAAGTGCTCTACCACTGAGCTACCCAGCCCTGAGCCATTGTCTCAATTAGACACTACCAGATCCTTTAGAGCAGTGGTGGTGAACCTATGGCATGCATGTTATTGTGTTTTCCTTTTAAAACAAAAGATGTTAATGTATGAGTTGTTTTTTCTAAAAACCTCAGGATTCAGGTTTAATTGCAATGTTGGCACTTTGTGATAAATAGGTGTGATAATAGGTTTTGGGTTGCAATTTGGCACTTGGTCTCTAAAAGCCACCATCATGGCTCTAGGGATTAGGATAGCAGGGATAGGGCAAGGGATTTAGCTCAGTGGTTCTGCCGCTTGCCTCTCTGCCTCGCAAGCAAGCGCAAGGTCCTGAGTTTGATCCCCAGTACCAAAAAAAAAAAAAAAAAAAGATAGCAGGGATAAAATCTTCCCTCTCTTAACTATGTATTTTGAAGAATACAACCTTAACACTGCAAACAGTAACACTAATGTTCTCTTATTGTGCTGTTTTCAGGCAGTTAACCTGTTGTGTCTTTGCAGGGTGACTCAGGAGGGCCCTTGGTATGCATGAAGGATAAGCGCATGACTCTGGTTGGCATCATCAGCTGGGGCATCGGCTGTGGGCAGAAGGATGTTCCGGGTGTATATACCAAGGTCACTAACTACCTCACGTGGATTCAAGACAATATGCAGCCATGACCAAGAACACCCCATTCCTGAACTCCAAGGAGATCCTGCCTTCCTCCTCTTTAAGAAGACGCTGCAAACACAATGTGCTTCTTTATGCCAGTTTCTCAACAACCCACCACCCCATGCAGCGGGGAGAATCAATAGGCAAGAACAAAGTATATCTTTTCTTTGGAAGGTTTTAGGGGTTGAGGTCTGCCTTGAGAATGTATTGTGTCAGGTGAGAAAACAGGTAAATAAATGCCAATCTTTGCCAGGTTCTGCAGGCAGAGCTCGGGAGCTGAGACCTCAGAGGAATGCAGATCTCAACAGTAAGAAATAAGCAGACCCTTCAGGACAGGAAGATTGACTTAGAACTAGAATGTGTATTTATGGTTACAGGAGAGCCTGTAACAGGTACAGGAGGCCTTCAAACAAAATTGGCTGGCTGGCCAGATCATGTTCCCCAAACCACCTTGGAATCAAGTATTTTCCTTCCCCTTTCCACTCCACAGCTCTAGAGAGGTATTCCTTATATGTACATTAGAAATCTTTTTTCTTTATAGAATTTATAAAATGGGAGAATTATATCATTTTAATAATTAATGAGCTAGGCTTTAGCATATTTATATTGATCCATTTTAGATTTTACTTTCTGTTGCCACGACTTTGTATTATACTGTACTTAAATAATAAATTCAGATATATTTTTCACATTGTTCTCAAATCAGAGTGGAATAGTTTTGTTACACAGTACCCATAACTGACTTTCTCTTGGTATTTACATTCACATTTTCACATTTGAAATATCTCCTTTCAACATGTGTGAAATACCTGCTGCCTACAAAGAAATATGCCAGGTTGTCTGGACAGTCAGAGCTGGGGAGAAAGGAAAGCTTGGTGTGACAAGAGCACAGGGCATTGGCAAGAAAAGCAAGATGGGATGGATGTGGCCACAATGTGGCAGACACTGACTGGAATTCACTTGGAGTATAACAAGGGAGTCTTAAGGAAAACAGACTTACGGAGGGTGGTCATAACTGGTCAAGATGCAGATGGCAAGTGCAGGAAAGGCAATCCCAGCACAGAGTTCACTGATGGACATGCAGAGCACTGGAGGCCAGAGATGGGGAGGACTAGGGAGGAGTGAGCAGCAGCTTGTAGTGAACTTCACAGAGGACTGTGGCTTGGAATTCAGATTATGGGGCCTCTGAATGCCCAACCCAGTTTGGACCTAACTCTGCAGCCGCAGGGAATGGACGAGGGTCGAGCTGAGCTGCCTCTAGGAGATCGGCCCCACAGTGACAGGTGAGCAGGCAGGTCTGAGGCCCTCTGGCCAGTAACCACAGCATAAAGTAAAAGCCTGCCTCACCATGGCCTTGCTAACACAGCAACCTCTCAATTCCTTGTTCAGACTAGAAGCTGTTATCTGGCCTTTTCCCCCATTCTTCTTTGCTTTTCTGCTCATTAGAAAAATAAACTCCCAGACCAGTCCACATATGTTTGTTACTTATGCACTGCTGCCTTGCTGCCTCCTGCTTCTTATACTTTCTTCCCACCCATGAGAAGCTACCCATGTCTCTCACAGCTATTGTCTGCATTTCTATCAGTGAAATGCTGGTTCTAAAAATAGATCTGATGATGCAGTGCTTGCCACTGGGCATGTGGTGAGGTGTTTTTTTTGGTACTGGGGATAGAATTCGGGTCTTTGTGCTTGCGAGACAGGTGGCGGAACCACTGAGCTAAATCCCTGGCCCCCAAGTGCTGAGTTTTAAAGAGAAGAAGAAAGTGCTTTATCTTGTGAGAAGCTGTCAGCTGTCAGAACTGTCCCGCTAGAGGTTCTTGGAAGAGAAGTACTTAAACTCACAAAAGAAATTCTCTAATCCCCAGAAGCTTGATGGGGGCTGGGGCTAGGGGCGAAAGGCAGAGGCGTCCCTGAAATGCTTAAGTCCTTAGGCCCCTTAAATCAGTGCAGGTCCCAGACTAGCACCATACAGTTCCCGATTTCACACTACTTGCCTACAAGTTCTAAGATTTTATTTTAGATAGGTGTTCATCTCAGCTGTTTCCAAAAAAAACACTGCAGGAGGACAGCAGTGACCAAGAATCACTGACTTTTCATCTCAGGCCCAACGCAGCGCCCACCCCCACCCCACCCCCATGACAACTTTTCTTTAGACAGTGGCTTATGAAATGAATCAGAGTGGTAAGGCCTCCTGGGGAGGAAATTCAAAGTCAAAAGGCCCTAGCATTCCTCTGAGTAGAACCCTGGAAACTGCAGAGCAGATGAAGCCAACTGCTCACAAGAGGCCACCAACTGACTTACAGGCAGAGTCTCAGCCCAGAAGACAGTCATTTCAATTATAAATATATCAAAGAGCAACACACTACCCAGTGTAGGCCAGAACATTCAGACAAAACGTTTGGAACTTGCCAGGGGAGGGGAATGGATGTAAGAGGAAATTAAATGTTATTTCCTCATCATCCCTGGTTGATTAATAAAACAAATGGATGCCAACTGACCCGAGAACAAGAAAGAAAGATTCCCCGGTCATTGTACAATTGGTTTTAAGGGTAAAGACATAGCAGGACACAAACCGATAAAACTTCTACAGCTCCACTCACACCTCTTTCTCAAAACATGTCATAAACTTTTGGATCCACATTTAACTTCAAGAGCCAAAGACCTACCTAATCCCCAGTATTTAGGATCTTGGAGGAAGTGTGGATTTCAAATGAAACAGGCTTTTAAAAATTCTAACAATTACAAACATTAGTATGGATGGCAACAAGTCACCATCTACTGGCAACAGAGGAAAACACAAGCATGCAAGAAAATTTCCTGTCCCAACACAATTCCACCAAAACATCAGACCAAGAGCAGGTACAGAAGTCAGCCCGAATCATTGGGGGAGAGTCCCAAGATCCTCAGTGGATGCCTGAAACCACAGCTAGTGACCAACTCCATGCACATTGTTTCTTTCCTGTATAATTTATAAATTAGGCTCATTAAGAGAGTAATAATAACTAACAATAAGATAGAACAATTATAATAGTGTACTGTTTACACAGGGGAAACAATTGAAGCAATAGGCACAAAGACTTTTAAATTGCACAGAAAATAATAGCAAGAATCAACAAATGGGACATCAAATTCGTTTCTGCATAGCAAGGGAATCAAAAGAGTGAAACACAGCCTCTGAATGGGAGAAAATCCTTCCCAGCTACTCCTCCAACAGAGGATTAATATGTAGAATATACAGTATTAAAAAACAACATCAAAAAATAAAATGACTCAATCAATAAATTGGCAAAATAATTGAACAGACACTTCTTAAAAGTACAAATGGTCAATAAGTATATTTTTAAAATGTTCAACATCTTTAGTCATTAGGGAAATGCAAATCAAAACTAAATTGAGAGTCCATCTCACTCCAGTCAAAATAACTGCCATCAAGAATGCAAAAAACGCCAGGGATTTAGCTCAGCGGCACTGAACCTGCCTTACAAGCATAAGGTCTGGAGTTCGATCCCCAGTACCAAAAAAACAAAACAAAACAACAACAACAACAAACAGTAAATGCTGGCGAGGATGCAGGGAAAAGGAACTCTTCTATACTGCTGGTGGGAATGTAGATTAGTACATCCACCATGGAAACAAGATGAAAGTTCCTCAAAAAGCGAGAACTATCATTTGGTTAGCTATACCATTCCTTGGTATATGCCTGAGAGAATTAAAGTTAGTGTACCACAGGGATACCTGCATACTGCACTGAAGCACAATACACAACAGCCAAGCCCTGGAACCAGCCTAGGTGCCCATCAATAGATGGATAAAGAAAATGTAGTGTACATCCACAATGAAATACTATTCAGTATAAAATAGGTTGAAATTTTGTCATTTGCAGAAATATGGATGAATCTGGAGATCATCATGTTGAGCAAATAAGCCTAACTCACAAATATCATGTTCTCCCTAATAAATAGAATCTAAAAAAGATGACAAGGTAGGTATACTAGATAAGAGGTAGGTATTACTAGATAAGGGGGAGGAAGACAAGGGCCAGTAATAGGGGGCATGAATATGATCAACACACAATATACACTTAGAAGTCCCACTCCAACAAGGGTAATGAGATCATTAATACGTTCATGTTCAAATCTGCCGTAAGGAAATCCCGTAATCTGTATAACCAAAGTGCACCAATAAAAGTGTGGCCAAAACACATTACGTACTTTTATATAAAAGTTATGTGAATGTGGTCTCTCCCCCTCTCACATCCCCACCTGGAGTAAATGGCTGGGTGCCACTTGTTTTAGGGGTTCCCTTGCCAAAGTCCCTGTACAGGCTTAAGCCTTGCTGGTGCAACATGCTGCTAGCAGATGCCACACTTCCCATCCACAAAGTTGATGTTCATCTTAACTAGGTGATTTTAACACACCATGGCTGTAACTGTTGCAGCTTGAGGTACAAGAGCAAAACTAGTACAACTATAATCCCAGCATTTGGGAGGCGAGGCGGGAGGATTGCCACAAGTTTGAGGCCAGCCTGGGCTACACAGTGAGTTCAAGGCCAGCCTGAACTGTATAGCAAGATCTTGTCTCCAAAAAATAATAAAAAAAAATTCAGAGAAGTTCCACTTTTACAGTAGATATTAGCAACCTCAGGTTACAATTTTTTTCTACATTAAGTAGAAAACTCAGTTTTCCTTAAAAGTCTTCTATTTGGTATATCCAAATGGCCAGCATCACTATTCTTGTGGTTTGAGCCACTATTAAGCAAAAGAAGGGTTACCTGAATACATACACCATGAGAGTGTAACCCCTAAGTGATCACGAGGCAGGCAGTTTACAGTACAGTTACACTGGACAAGGCGATGATTCACATCCAGGGAAGGGATGGTACAGGACAAAGTGGGGTGAGACTGGGTAGGACACAGCAGGGCAGTGAGAGGGTTCATCAAGCTACTCAGATTGGTGCACAATTTAAAAACATGGATGCTTATTTTTGGAATTCTCCATTTAATATTTCAGACCTTGCGCAACTGAAAAGCAAAATAGGTAAGAGGGGGATGGGCTACTGTACTACAGAATGGCTAAACGAAAGAGAAGCTGAGTATTAATAAACACTAAGTACTTGGGGTTAGTAAAAAGTGGCCAGAAAAAAATCGGTACAGATGCAGAAGACCAGTGTGTACATTACAGACTCCCAACCCTTATCTTCCAGGAAACCTCTACCACAGTAAAGACACCTGTCTAATGCCCCGCAGCCCTGCTTTGTGCCTAAATTAGTCAACTTGAGGAGCATGTTAGAAGAGAGAAAGCACCAGAATAAACACTGGCAACTCCAATGATCTTGTCTTTTCTGCCCTAGAGAATAATAATTTGGTTGATCTCAACCTTAGTTGCCACAACCTTAAAAATGACAACACCAATATCACCTATTTTTCAGAGCTGGCTAGAGTATCAAATTATGTGTGGACTTGAGTCTTCTGAATAAATTCCTTGCTGACTCTACTGAGGAAGGCATGGCGTAGAATCATTGTGCTAGTAACAAAACACATAGGCTACAGAACACTGGAAAAACTCAACTTTATTACTTTCAAGCTACTCTAGTACATGTTAAGCACACACGGAACTGAATAGCTGTGAGATGCCTTGCATGACTCATGCCGACCGAAGCACTGGAGGGTGGCAGGTGTGACACTTGTCGGCCACATCCATGTGTAGCACTTCACACATGCTTTGCCTACACTTTACTTTCTCTTAGTATACCCTATAAAACAGGATGAGTTGCCCTAGAGGAAATAAAACAGCTGTACTTATAAACCTGAAAGTATTCAGGAACCAAGATTAGCTGTATCCCGTGACCTAAGAAACCTTATAAAGTCCTTCAGATCCCACAGGAGAAGTGCTTTCTGGAGTCCCCAGGTAGAGACACTTCCCCACCAAGGAGGTCTATGTGTGCTATGGTAATCCAGGGAAAATTCTGGAGTGATGGAGTACGAGACACATCTGGCTGTACACAGCACAATTTATCCCAGAGGAAAACCACAAAGCAATATCACTCTGCAGCTTAAATAATTCCTGGAAGCAGCAGCAAGATAAAACTGGTCAAAACAAACAAACAAACAAAACAACTCAAGTATTTGAAAATGGGACTTCAGAGACCTACATTTTGGAGAACACAGGTCTTCCTTTTTCTCCATGCACAATATAGAGCACAGTATCATTCCCTAAGCTACAACTCAAAAATAATAAAACCCCCAAACCTGCCTTCTATCTAGATACTAAAGTGGGTAATTAATATATGGGAGCAGAATAAAAATTAGCCATTCGGAAAGCCTTAAGTAGTTCTCAAGTTGCCATGTTCTTACATTGATTTGGTGACACACCATCAACATGGCCTGTCTTCTTACAGCATTAATTTTATTCAAAGATTTAAGGAAATTGTCTTAAAAGTGGACTGTAGACAGTTACTATTAATAGATATAGAGGAGAGTACCAAACACAAGACAGAGGAAATAACTTTACCATGCAGCTTTAGTGATCTATCACACCCTTACTAGTGAGTAGTCTTTTTATTCAGGGCTACTGATGGAGAAGCTTCAGGAAGGAAGGCTGAGGACCCATTAGCAGCCCAGCAGGGGTACCTGTGAACAGGGGTCACTGGGCTACAGCTGTGCACCCCCTTCCCGGGGAATGAGCTGCCATCTCCATTCCAGTGCTATGACTCATAAAATCTGGCTGCACTGAAACTCTTCTACTGTTTAGGAAGTTCTGAAGAAGGATCAAGTAACCAGAAAAGGCTGGTGCATTCTGTAGAGTGATGTGAGTAAAACTTTTTTGGCAAAAAAGTAGATCATCTTCTCACAGAAGATGACAGACCAAGTATTAAAGGCAAGCAACAGTTAGAACCTGAAAGCCAGTCCAATATCATCATAGTCTTCAAGGGAAAATGATTCTACTGGGGTTTCCATGTCAAGAGTGGACTTGGATTTAAGAAGGCTCCAATTCATTTCTAGAAGTACAAAGGATTTTTATATTAGAGCAGAGGGATCAGAAAGAAACCAACTCAACTCTACTCTTCCCAAACCTCCTTACATAGTTGATCACTTTTCTTTGCCCATCTTCCTCACAACTCTTCTTTAATATGATTTCCCCTTTCTTCTTCTTCATAGGACACACACACACACACACACACACACACACACACACACACACACAAAGCGCCAAAGCCTGCTAAGCAAGCACTTTACCACAGAGCACAACCTCAGCCTCACAGATCCATCTTAGCTGGGATTTCGTCAACATTCATTTTCCACCTAATCTCTTCCTTTCCTTTCCTTCTTATTTATCTTTCTACCTTAAAAAAATCAATAAAGTAATCTTTCACTGACTTTAGATAATTAAAGCCAAGGAAGCAACAAATGCTGATCTTTTTCTACAATAACCACATTAAGAGTAGTTAACTATGAGGTCAGTATCACCATCTTTCATCACACACCTCCTTGAGAATTGAGCTGGTGCTGATGTTTTGGTTCTGTCCCAATCTCCCTGGCAACCTTTTCTCTCTTGATTAGTTCCATGGCACTCAAGGCTAAGGACAAAAGGGAGCTGGTGAGCCCTGGGGGAGACTGACCTAAGAGACAGGCTGATATTTTTTACTTTTAGACAAGTAAGAAACGAAAAAGTGTTCATGATTTTTCCTTCTACAAAACTCCCTTCAGGTTCGAACTTGGAATTTCCCAGCTTTGGTCATGTATTTTATGCCCTTAAAGGGTTTGTATTTTTCTCCATACATATCCAGACGATTCACTTTGAGTCCTGGAAAGGAGAGAGGAAGGAAAAATAAAACATGGGCTTTATTCAAAGTAAGTATGCAGCACTACCACTCACGTTCATGTCAATTCAGAGTTCAGCACACATAAATTTTTATTAACAATGAACTACTTCTGTGAAACTGGCAGATTCTTCACTCTGAGTACATATACTGACAATAAAAAGCTGCTTCACAAAAACCTACCCTAGGAGAAGACCTCTTCCTAAAGTGGAAAGGGCAGAAAATTATATGCAGACTGAAATGACAGGAAGGAAAAAGTAGGACCACTGTCTGTTCTTCTCACATTACTGGATAGTAAATAAATTAATGATAACAAAATTAATGAATTAACAATAAGATAAATTATACCAAAATAAAGAGAAACGATGAACTGATCAATGAATGCTAAATATTTTCACTGTAATGAGCAAAAAATTGATACTGTATAGTTTTACAATTTATTAAATGCTTTAAGATAAAAAAGAACTTATAACTTAACTGAATTCTAATCACTTAAATTAGACAAAGTCTTTTAGTAAAAAAAAAAATGGGAACATCATAAAAACTTAAAGTAATTTCCTTTCTATCTCATGGGGTTGTTCTAATGCTTAAATATTCAAACACATGAAAAGAGCTTAAAAGAGTGCCTGGGGTCAATCCCTGGTACCAAACAAACAAAAAAGAGTGCCTGGGACATAATAAATGCCCAGTAAATGGCAAGTTATTGTTATATCAGGCTAAGGCTGGACAGGCCCAGTGGTTCCACAGTGATACTAAATGCAAACACAAAAACCTTCTGTAATTGGGAAAAGGAATGAAAATGATTCTTTTCTATTACTAGCTAAGGACACAGAAGCATTCATATATTGAAAACTTTGGGAACCCCAAATCAGCAACTGTAAGATGACTGAACAACAGCCCATGAAATGCTGTGGCCCACCAATATTGCTTCCTTCTTGCCTGTGTCTCAGACACTTGGGTCAACTTCTGAGTAAACACCCTAAACCTCCCCCAGAAATATGGTAGAAAAGATTTTCCTTATACACATAAGTAGGGAGCCACGGAAGGCTTCCTGATGCCCATGCCTTACCAGAGAAAGCCACTTCCACTCCCTGCAGAGCCACCTGAGCCGTGGGTCACTTACCAGAAATGGCCAGCTGCTGGATCTTAAACTGCAGGTTAATTGTGGGGTTTTCATCTGGTTTGGAAGCTCCAGCCTGCAGACTCATAGTCCCTTTCAAACTTGGAAGCTTTTGAGGATTAATTTTTCCTACATCCCAAGACAGCATCTTCAAAGAAAATTTTAAAAAGAAGTGGTCTTTACAATAAAATAATGAAGTACAATGGAACCCTTCATTGGAGGTGGCTGAGCTCTAACCATAGGGCTTTTGTTCATAGAATCATAAGCTGCCTCTGGGGTGTTTTTCAATAGAGAGTCCTATTTATCACCATAGTTACTATATCTCAAAGAAGAAAACATTATCTCTGATTAATCTTGCCTTCTAACAAGGTCTGAAGTCTGCGTGGGAGTACCTGCAGAGCTCCTTGTGCAATTCAAAATGCGCAATTCTCTTACCTTTGTCACTGGGTCAAATGTGTGTGTCCCCTGGGATGGAGTGAGGCTCATATTCAGGACCCCTCTGGGCATCTGGCTGAGGATGATCACTCCCTCTATGGTCTTCCCCATCGTCTGCTTGGGTCCCACTGTTATTTCAAAGCGTCCAAGTGAACTACTGTCCCGGAAACTGATATTATGTTTCACATACACTGGAATTGCAACCAGACTGGAAAGGAGAGACAAAGGGTCCATTTCATTAATGTACTGGAAAAATGCCATTATTTCCTCCTTTTACGTTATGTGTTTTTTTTTTTTTCAGCTTTTTTCCCCCTCACCTATGTCCTTATTTCTTACTTTAAAAATACAGAAAAAAAAATAGCAATCATCATTCTTTTGAAAAACTAAGATGCTGTCTAGTTAATAAACTTAGTCTTCTGATGACTGAAAAATATAAACAAAAGAGCATACCAACACTACTATGAGAAAGGAATAATAAGCAAAAAGTGGAGTCACTATGTTTCTATGCTTTAATTTGTGACATATGACCAATCTTTATTTGTACTGGGAAGAGTAACACTCATACCTCAGAACTTTTCATAATTTCTTGAGGGTGCTTTTATTTGACTTCATGTGAACCTCAAAAAATCCTAAGAGGTAGACTGTCATGATTTGAAAGGACAGGGAATAGAGAAGTGACAGAATAACCCTAAAGTAATAATAGTTCCTAATATTTACTGAGTACATCCGGTGTACCCGTCACTATGCTAAATGCCTTTAGCCTGTAATACTTATCTTATGTAACCTTCCTAGTAAGTACGAAGCACGTAATGACTGAAGTCTTTATACTTAACTGAGATTCTGTACCCTGCCTAAGGCCATATACCGTAAGTACTGTCCTCAAGGTGGAGTTTAAATCCTGACAAGTCTGATTCCAGGGCCTTTGACCTCAAGCACCCAATATTTCCCTAAATGACTGATTCTAAATCACACAGGAAGGTACTGTCAGCTCTGAGGTCTCTAGATCTCAGTGCACACCTTCAGCACAATACTGCTTCTTAAACCCTTTCCACTCCAAACTGAAGAGAATATTTGGGGCCAAAAAGCACTGCATTGTTTACTGTTTCACAGCATGATTTAGTGCATTTTGGGGGCCAGAGGATTGAATATAGGTGTGTTCAGTTTCTAATGTGAGAGAAGAAAATGTTCTTGTTTGGACACAAAACAACAAAGTTAACTGCAGCAAACAATGAGCCCTTTGTGTTAAGCACTACTTATCCTCTCATGCCTAATCCTCATAAAAAGGTATTTTTATTATTTTCAGACAAAATACAAGAGCAGGGAAGCAACTCACCCGAGACAACACGGTTAATAACTACCAGGGCTGGAACTGGAACCCAGGTAACCCTAGAGCCCAACTTTTAATCACTACTGACACAGATTCTATCTGAGTACGAGAGCTGCTTACTTCTGGGCACTGACATGGTAGGAAAGAAGGCGAAAGTTCCCGTCAGGAGGGATGAAGGAGAGGATCCGCTCAGACTCCCAGCGCTTGAAACGAACGCAAGGATGGAAGCTGACATCGTCCAGCAGCCTAGGGTTCTGCATTGACCAGGCAGGAAAGCAAGAAGCTGGATCAAACACTATGCTTCTTTTGGAAAAGTAATTTAGATGCTGTTTTTACTAAAACACATGCATGCACACATAGAAATTCAGTAGTTACAAAAAATTCAAACCTGATACAAGCTTGGAGGCGTCCCTAATTATTTCTTCTTATTCTATTCATTCTTACCACTCATCTTTCCAGAAACGTTTAATTTCCCATCTCAAGAACTCAAGTTCTGTCCAGAACTTACCATGAAGGAAAGCGTGAGGTCTGGCATCCCGGTCAGCTTGACACAGGCATCAATCACACCCTGGATTTCAGCAGTGATTGTGGAGCCTGAGGCAGGAAGAAGACAAAGAGATCATTGACCACTCCTGTGATCTGATCTTCCCAAGTAGCTTCCTCCCTTCCTCCTCATTCTTTTCCTTCCGTTTCCTTCCCTGCATCCTTTTCTCCTTTCCTTCTGTTTCACCTTCCAATTCACTTATCCAATACATTTGTGTGTCCTTCCAAAGCTTTACCAACTGCATATCAAGTGTGAGATGCTATGATGGAGTAATGGGTGTGGAGATGAATGAGAGCAGTTTTCAATCTACTAACAGAATCACACAGAGCATCGTTATCTTTTTTTTTTTTGTATTAAATTCTTTTATTGGTACATTGTAGGTATACAACACAATGACATTTCTCATTGGGAATTGTACCTTTACATAATGCAACTTGGTTCTTATTTTTTCTCCATTCCTAGCCCTCCCTTCACGCCCTCCACCCTTCCCTATTTACAAAGACTTTATTTCCATTTTTTCCATTTCTCAGCATTTTTCCTTTCCCTTCTTTCCTTTCCCCTACCCCTCCCACTACCCCTACCCCTTTGGACCTTTTCTTTCTATTTTACATTATCGATTATTCATTCTAATCATTGGTACATTTTAGGTATACAATATAATGACATTCATCATTGGAAATTTGCACCTTTACATAGTCTCTCTTGGTTCTTATTTTTCACCCTTGCCCAGCCCTCCCTTCAACCCCTCCAGTCCTCCCTATTTACAAAGATTTTGTTCCTATTTTTCCATTTTCTCATATTAATCCCATTCCCTTCTATCCTTTCCCCTAGCCCTCCCACTTCCTTCCCCTTTGCCCCTTTTCTTCCTATTTCACATTACCTATTATACATTTAGTCCTTATTTACACTTTCAGTTTCTCACACCAGAGAAACTATTCAGCATTTACACGTCTGTCCTATTTATTTCACTTAAGAGTATCGCCTCAATGTGCATCCACTTAGCTATGTCTCTAATTTCTCATTTTTTATGGCTGAGTAGTACTCCATTTTATAAAAAAACCACATTTTCTTTATCCAGTCTCCAGTTGATGGGCATTTGGGCTGTTTCCAAGTTTTAGCTATTACAAACTGGAGCATCATTATCTTAACCAATGGTCCAGAGAATCCCTTATCAGCCAATGCTTCCCTAAAGTCACAATGGCTCTGCTCCAAGTCTGTCCTGCAGCCCCTCACTGCACCACTTGGCACTGCTGACCACTCATCCTTTCCAAAATCTCTCTAACCCATTTTCCCAAGTCCCTTCCCTTGATGTCTTTTCCAGGTTTCTTTCCACAACCCTTAATGTGAGTGCTTTTCTAGCATTTTGGACAACTTTTCTTTGGCATTCTCCTTAGGCTGCTGTACCTACTTCCCACAGCTTCCATTTTTATTTATAGCCAGCGATTTCCCATTCCACTTTCAAGTTCAACCTTGCCCCTGAAAAACAGAAATCCTACTGGGGTGCTTCAAACTTCACATGCCAAAAAGCGAATTCATAATCTTACTCCTTGGACCAGCTCCTACTTTCCATATTCTTATGGTGATATCATCTAATTTGCTGCTTCAGCCAGAAGCACAGATCTATCTTTGACTACCTCTCAGTCCCCACATCCTGTCCATTACCGATTCTCTCTAGGACTTGTATCTATATGCATTCGCTCCACTTTATCCTGACTCCCATTATCAACACCTGCATTTCATTCCTGTTCCTCAGCTATAGCCTCTGAACCACCCTGCTGCCTCTGGTCTGCCACTGCCTCTGGTCTGCCACTGCCTCAGGCCACTATTTACGATGAGCCAGACTGAGTGCTGGAAATGACAAGCCTGATCAAGTCACTCTCCAGTTGAAGATGCGTGAATGCTCCCAACTACCCTTCTTAAAATACCAGGCGCCTCTGATCTGGCCATCAATTTTAAAAACTTTTCCACTGTTGTAAAATAGTAAACTATAAACATCTTACAGTTCAGTGAGGTTTTTAAACATGTACACATCTATGTAAACACCACTTACATCAAGATATGAAAGCATTTCTTTACCCTAGTATGTTCCCTAATGTCCATCCCTGGTAATGGCATCCCCAAAACCCTATCCTCAAGTACCTTAAATTGTGCCTATTTTCAAACTTCAGATAAAAGTAATCACACTGTGTACAATTTTATGCATCTGATTTTTCTGCTCAATATTCATTGAAATTCATTTATGTTGTGCAGTGTATCCATAGTTCATTATTTTTCACTACTGCATAGTGTTTCATTGTCTGAGCATATCAAAATTTACTTATCTTTTCTATATTGTTGGTGGATATCTGCTTATCTCCCATTGAACTAATATGAAAAGCTGCATTACTGCCTTAACTGTAAGATTTCATCACTTACTTTTCTCTTTTTATACTTCTCAATCTAATCACACTGATCTACTATATTTCCCCTGAATATTTTGGGGACTACTGTACCCATCAGTGTGACTGTCCCAAATAAATCCAGGTCTTAAATACTTCTATTCACTCCACTGTGAAGCACACACATGATCAACTGTGTACACTTTGCTTAGGACAGAGGATACCTCCTCTATTTGCTACCTTTTACCTTCTTTTCTGCTTCCCTAGACCTTACTCAAGCTTCCTACTGTCCCTGACTGTGTCTTATTCATCACCAGTGCCCATGAGCCAGTACTGGTATACAGGGCAACAAGTTTCCAATTAATGTGTTGTGTGGGTAAGTTCACTAATGTGAATCTTCTGTGAATTTCTAAACTCTAAGACGTCTAGTCATATTTACTTAATTCCGAATAGACAGAAAAGAGGTTCCCTGAATCTTAGTAATTATAACTTTAGTTCTGTAATCAGAATTGAGAGTCAAATACTTTTAACAAGGAAATCTAATCAACAAGATATGAGTTTGTTACTTCCCTTTTCTAGTCAAGAGGATGAAAGGTATAAAAAAAGGTAAAAGTGTGAGTCAAACACTGATCTGCATCTTAATATCAGAATTCCGTTCCTCTAATGCAGCATGGCACCTGACACGGTAGGCACTAAGCTACAATGAATGATCCTGTAGTGGGTGTCAGAGACCAACAAGGGTAATGTGAAAGGGACACTGCATTTTCCTATCTCTGGAAGAAGCTTAGGAAGACCTACCTGATTTATCAATAATGGCATCAATCTCTTCAATCACATCAAAATAGGCCTCATTGTTGGTGTACTTCACGCCAGTCCGCCGCCAAGGGACCACTGACAGCTGCCCAGTTGGAAGCTGATTGCCCACATTGGTACTTCCTAAGAAAATGGGTACCATTCCTTTTAGAATGAAATTAGCACTTTAAAGCCAATTCAATTCTAATAACCAGAGAAGATTTCCCTAGAAGTTGCCATGTGCTCACCATTCCTCTGCTATCACACAGAGCAGTATTTTCCCAACTTTAATATAGGGCAACTTAGTCTATTTTAAAAACTTACTGTCACCATCTGGTCTGCCTCAAGCAGAATAAAGACTTTTAAAAGTTACCTGAGAAACAGATACCATATTTTGATTTTGAAAGTAATGTGAACTTATTGTCTCAAATATCACAATAGCTTGCAGCTTAAATAACGTATTGGCTTTCAGGAGGGTTAGTAATCTACATATTGATATAACACTTTCATGGATAAAAAATGTATTCTAGTTTGGGAGAGGTTCTTAGGCACAGTAATGGTGGGTATTAAGATGTATACATCAACAGGACCTGGCTCATACCAATACTGAAGTTTAGGGAAAGAATACAGATTATATCCTTCTGTAGGGACAGGGGTCTGTAGATGAGAAAATAAAATAGGGTCTTCTAGTTAATCCTGAATAGGAGTTTAAAACAAACTTTACTAGAAAGATTCTCCTGGGAGGCAAGTCAAAGACAGGGGTGGAAAAAGAAAAAAAAAGTCAGATAAAGAAAGGCACCAAATGGCCTTGGGACTTGCACCAAGAGATCAGAAAAAGAGCTGACAGGCAGGACACAGAGAGAAGCCAGGGGCACAAATGATAAGCCAACCCCACCTCCAACAGAATACAGGGGAGGCAAAAGGGGGGTTGACTAACTTTAAGGCCATATGTACTCACACCTATGCACTGACATACATACTTATATATGGGTGTATTCATTCTAGGGTCATTATAGAGTACAACAGATACTACTAACTCTAAGCTAATCATAATAAGGCACCCCACTGCCAGCTAGCCACCTACCCCAAAGACAAGGCCTTAAAAGGTAGGTCAAGGACAAGTAAACAAACAGATGAAAAGATGCTGCATGTAGACTACTGGAAGAAATGATGTTAGAGATGCCTGGAAGCCAATCCAGTTATGATGAATTCCGGGGGTGGGGGTCCACTCACTCCCCTATAAAAGCAGCTGGGGACAAAGGGCCCACAGGTCCTCCATCCTTCTGGAGCCCCTACCCTGATTCTATTATCAGAGTAGGTATCCATCTTCTCCTCTCTCCCCTTTCCTTTTCTTCTTTACAAATAGAGTGTCTTCCTTTTATTAAACTTTGTCCCTCTAATTTTTCACTGGGGCTGAGTTTATGATCCTGGTGGGCTGCTTGGACAGCAGAGCAGCGCTGCTTGTCTCCCAGATGCAACACTTCCCTGTCTTTAGGGTTACAGATCAACTCCTTAAACTTTTTCTCTCACAAGCATCAAAAGTATTTAATTCAAAGTTTTATACTGAAATAATAACTATAACTTAAATTCTATTTTCTCTTTCTACTGACTGGGTCTTTTTACTCTAAAGAAATACTAACCATATATTTTTTTTAGCATGTTTATAAAACACTTCAGTTATTCATAAGGAGTTTGCAGATACTTTTTTCTAGATTTAAGTGAGATACAGGCTTAAATAACGTCATAATATCCATAAAGTGACTCAGCCACAAATCTTTTAAGGCTTAAAATGAACTCAGAATATTGTAAAATACACCAAATTTGTTACTGGGACAATACAGTATTTTTTTTTAATTATCAAAACTTCTTAATATATCCTGTATCTGTAGGATACATGTTTTTCTTTACTCTCTCTTTAAAAAATTATTTGCAAAACTTTCTTGGCTGTTATAGCATGGTCACTCTATGAATTTTTGTCTTGTGTACAACATGATCTTAGTATGTCATGATGGCAGATCCTTCTAACTCCTTTGCAATTTTTTTCAAATTTTACTTTTGAAAGTTTATTTTTCCATTAGTTGACTTGTCAAATTCCATGAAACACACAAGACCCAAAATGTTAAAACCTTAACAAAATAATGATTAATTTGAGAAATTCAAAATATTTAAAATATAACTAAATAAAACACCATGAACAATGTTAAACAACAGATTATGAGCCTGTATCTGCAATGCAGTATTTAAAAATATATAAAAACTCTAACAAACTATCATAAAGATTGGAATATATCCTTAAATGAATGCTTTTATGTCAGTATGAAACAAGAAAAACATTTCAACTACCAAAAATAATGGGCAAAGGACATGAAAAAGTAATTCACAACAGAGAGAATGATCAATAAACATTTGAACAGGTTTTGATCTCTGTAGTAACAAAAACAATGTGTAGATAACAAGATCAACAAACTATCAAATTGCCAAAATTTCTAAAAGTTAGTAACAATAGGGTTGACTAAAATGGACAGAAACTGCTACTGAAAGCATAAATTGGGATTATTTTCTGGAGGGGAACCTGGCACAATGCATAACAGTCCCTAAAATGTACATATTCCCTGACTCAGTATTTCCATATCTGGTACTGAAAAGAAATCCTGCTAGATGTACACAGAGATTGAAATGCGGTGGAGTGCCCCTGCATCCCCAGTGCTCCAGAGGCTGAGGCAGGAGGGCTGAAAATTTGAACCCAACTTGGGAGACCTAGCAAGACCCTGTCTCAAAATAAACAATAAAAAGGGGTGGAGATATAGTGTGGTGGTAGTGCACTCTTGGGTTCAATCCTCAGTACCACAACATAAATAAAATAATAATAACGTTCCTAGCTGGGCACAATGTAGTGTCTATAGTTGCAGGTACTCAGGAGGCTGAAGCAGGATTGCAAATTCAAAGCTAGACTGGGTAATTCAACCAGACCTTGTCTCAAAATAAGAATGTTAATCTCTTGTTATTTAAAACAGCAAAAAAGCATCATCATAAACATGAAATGAGTAAATAACTTTGTAGTTTTTAATGTGGAAACTACAAAGGCATTGAAAGTGATACAGAATATAATATGTTCATAAAATATAAATTTAAAAATATATAACAGTTCTGTCTTAAAACATTCTATCTGTCTACCTTTTATCTATCTAGAAAAGATAAGAAATATACACAGCAGCATGTTCAGAGTATGGGGTTAACACATTCTCGCCGGCCTGACCCCAGTGGTAGACGCAGACTTCCCATCAGGCAGTGGGACAGTGTCAAGGGCCACGCCGTGGGAGTCAGCCATGTACCATCAGTATTCAGAGGTACTTGGCAATGAGACAATGAATGCAGCCCCATTGTGAATGTGTTATAAGATTTTCATGTTCTTTTGTATTTTTCTGTATAATAATCACATCTTCGGTAATCAGAAATAATTTGTTACAAGAATACTTTTTTGTGGAAAAAAAAAAGTAAAGAAGATGACTTCCCTTTTGGTTGTGCTGAAGATGGAACCCACAGCCTCACACATTCTAGCCAAGCCCTCTATCACTGAGCTGCGCCCCAGCCCATGAACACTTTATCTTGTCACTGAAAACAGGGTATGTTCTACATAAAATATACATGTAATTTATGATGAGACTCAGAGACCATAAAAAGCAAAATTAAACATGTAACTCAAGATTCCCAATCACTCAACATGATGCATACACCCGATGAAGCCAAACAGCGGAGGCAGCAGCCTTGGGTGGTCCCCCGCGCCATACCTGTTATGGTATTGACAACCGTCCGAAGGATAGTGGGAGGCTTTATCAGTTCTTTGAGGATGTTTGACTCAGTAGCCAAAGGAAATCCATTGTCAAGCATTTCTTCCAGTACCTCATACACTACAACGACATTGTCTTTGATCATTGGCTCTGAACACACTCCAAAATAATCCTGAGATGAAGACATAAAAAATATTTATTACTCAGAGCCTGTAAAAAAATAAAAGTATGTTCCTACCGAGTAAGGGTCTAGCCCTATATTTACTTGGTATTTTTGGGTCATTCCCTTAGAGCGAGGGAACAGAGCAGACAGGCTCTCCTGGGCAGCCTGGCTTATGGTACCAGTGTCATGCATCATTAGGAGATTCTTCCAGGAGCAGGAGGAAGCAATTGACCTCTTTAGTTAGTTTCTTCAACTTGATAAAATATACAGCACACAAAATTGAAGTGAAGGGAGCTTTTTTTTTTTTTGGTACCAGGGATTGAACTTGGGACCTTGCGCTTGTGAGGCAGGTGGCAGAACCACTGAGGTAAATCCCTGGCCCCTACAGCACCCAAAATTAAATCTAGATTATTTGTGTTTAGGAACAAGAATTTAAAAGAATTACACAAAATTATAATGCTAGATGTGACACAGTGCTGTTTCTTAACACTTGTGCAGTAAGAGTTGAGGGAAAATGAAATGAGGTGGGTGAGCCAGCAAGGCAGAAAACCACTCATCTTCCTTCATGCTAGGATTCTAAGAACGCTTTGTCCTTTCTCCATAGAGGCTAACCTGGCTGAGAATAATGGCGCATGCCTGGAGTCCTAGCACTTGGGAGGTTGAGACAGGAGGATCGCTTAAGCTCAGGAGTTTTGAGGCCAGCATGAGCAACAGAGATGAGCATGGGCAATCCCTGAGGATGGGCAACTCCATCTCAAATTTAAAAAAACAAAAAGGATAAACTTAAATACTGAATTATCTGGGTTTGGGAAAAGCACTGGATGCTACAATCACAAGACCTGGATTACAATCTCAATTGTCACTTACTGGATTAAGGCATGTTAATATGGGCCTTGACTTCTTTAATCCAGATGACATCATTTGGATGCCCAGGGAAGTTGTAAGGACTGAGGATGACTGATTAAACGAAGAAGTGTGTGAGTGTTCAGCATACCCTAAAACACTGTGTGAAATGGAATGGATGCTGACCTAGGAGGAAACATCTGTCATTCGTACATCCTTCTAGGAATCTCAGTTCTATGCATTATAGTGTCTCTGAGAGGGTCATGCAACCCTTCTTGAATTCATCCAATGAAGCGAAATTACCCCTCCTGAGAAAGCTCATCCTTCTCATGGAGAGCTCTGGCCATTAAGAAGTTCTTTCTTTTGCTAAACTGAAATCTGCCTCCTAGCTGCCTTCTAGAGCAATTTTACACATTAGCCCTGTCATTATCTAAAATAAACTTTCACTTTTTTTTCCTCTTCAGAGACAAACTCCCTCTGTTCACACTGTGGTATAGTTTTCAGATTATGTTATCATTTTGTAATTTCTTTGACATACAAATTGAAAAGACTCTACTAGATGTGATCTAAATTATATCAGATGTCAAATACCAGTGAAATTCTAATACCCAAATAAATCACTTAGGAGTTAGGAATATATTCCTAAAACAAAAAATGAGGATTGAGGTGGGTGTCACCATATTTTCTTCTCAAGAGTGATTTTAAAAAATAAACTAGCCAGGGATTTAGTTCAGTGGCACCATGCCTGCCTTGCAAGTGCAAGGTAATGAGTTCGATCCCTGGTACCAAAAAATAAAAATAAAATATACAAAACATTTCATTAGATTGTACAAACCAGACATAACATGACAGAGCATCTGAAAAGGAGTCTTGCAATACGACAAGATGCTATCGCAAAACTTCTTGCAATTCTTTGAGTCCTTTTCATCACATTATAGTGCTACAAAAATAATGGTGCTAGAGAGGCTGAACATTAAAAAAGGCATTTAAATCAGAATTGGGCGCTTATTTTTTAAGAACTGCTTCAAAAACGAAAAGGTCTGAAGCCCCACTCTTCCAAATTAGCAAATGCATTGTTTCCCCAAGTTCCGTTATAGTTTCAATTGGATAGAACAATTCTCCTGTCTGCCTATCCTGAAGTTATGTAACAGTGGTACCACCAGATGAAGCAGCTGTCGCATTTCACCAGTGACACTGCTGATGTGGAAATCATAAACAGTAAGTGTTAAGAGTGGTTCAAAAGCATAGGTTCTTCTATTTCTACTTCCATCACATGAGGCCTGTAACCCTTCGGTTTTTGTTTGCTTGGTTTATATAACACTAAGGATCGCCCCAGGGTCTCACTCATGCTAGGCAGCACTCTAGCACGGAGCTAAATGCCCTGCTTGAATCTGTACTGTGTAAAGGAGCTACTGCACTACATGAAAATTAGAATTGCAGAGTACTACTACTATCGAAGTATTTGTAGGAACACAGCATATAAAAGTTTAATTCTCTTGGGGAAAAAAGCAGCACTAGACATGTGACACAGAGATGACTGTAAATGAAAGGACTTCTTGAGTTGCTTTTACATTTTTATAATGTCTGCATCCTTATTTTTTTCTCCAATTCCACAATTCCCACACACGTGATTAACTCCAGACCTCACACGACACAGAAGTTAAACCAAAGGGCCCTTGCTTCTAAGTTATGCAAATAACCACAGCAGAAGTTGTGTAATTCTACTGGAGGGGATCTACTGTCAGAGGCTGGGCAGTCTAAAATCCTGTGATATGATTGGTGATCTCGTAAATAACTTACCTGCCCTCTAACCCATTCTCCCAACATCTTCAAGTACAATGAAAACTGTACCTCACAAAATATGTCATGATTCTTAGAGGTACAGAATATTTCCCAATCTTAAATTTGTAACAAAAGCACATCACTAGCACTCACATGCTATGGATAACCACCCTAAACCAAAGATGAAGTATGGGTTCATACTTGCCAGGGACAGTTAAAATAAACATTACTTGGCTTTTTATACTTTCTAAAACTATACATCTGTTACTTTTTGATGGAACTGAGAGCAACATTAAAAATGGTTAGCACAGGAGCCGGGGATTTAGCTCAGTGGTTCCACCACCTGCCTAGAAAGTGCAAGGTCCCGAGTTTGATTCCCGGTACCAAAAAAACAAACCAAAAAAATGGTTAGCATCAAGTCTAATCTGTGAGAACTAAAAATACTGTATGATTTACACAGTCAAACCAAATACGGTGGGTTTACCATGCAAAAGACTCAAAAGTATCCATTTTGTCATCTTGGATATAGTCAGTTCAATAAAGAAATAAGAGACGGAAGTGGTGGTGCGTGCCTGTAATCCTACTACTCTGGGAGGTCGAAGCAAGACAATCACAGATTCAAGCCCACAGCCTGGATGATGTAATAAAATCCTGTCTGAAAAAAAGGAAAAGGTTTGGGGCTATTGCTGGGTGCAAAGACTCCAGGTTTAAGCCCTAGTTCAAAAATAAAAAATAAATAAAAGAAAGAAAGAATTTTAGATGGGAGAGGAAGTAAGCAATATCAAAGTTTGGATTTCTTAAACACTGCCTTAACTGAGATTGAATACAATGGCAACAGGACTACACAGATACTTCAGTTTGCACACATGAACCACCCCACATTCACAAACCTGAAACGTGTCCACTACTCGGTGAAGGAACTCAATGACAAACAGAGGTGGGACCTCTGTTTGGATCACAGCCACAAAAAAGATCTTATGGCGGTAAACACTCAAGAGGTAGTGGTGAGGGGTAGGAATAACTGGAGGCACATTTTCTGCCTCAGTGGCTCTCTCCTGAGCCTCAAAAAAGTAATCACAAACAGAACGGCTGACAACACTCTTCCAGTGTTTCTCCAGGAAAATGTCTCCAGAGGAGTTGATGAGGAAGAGACTGTGGATCATGGTGGAGACTACCAGGGGAGACGAAGGCCTTTCCAGTCTGAAAGCCCTTGGATTCACCAAAGCTTCACCTCTAAAAACAAAAGAAGTTACATTCAGTTCCAACCAATTAAAACACCATCTTCATCTTATCCAGCATTCCCAGACTTTTCCATCTTTCAAGATCAGGCTCAACTCTTTCTCTACTGCATCTGAAATATCTTTCCCTCAAATTCCTAAGTGTAGTTAGCAGCCATTTCATTGTCATTCAACCATATACTTCCAGCTCTTTTTTGTTTTTTGGTGCATATGCTACATTTCCAGCACCGATTCCCAGTTATCTTTACTACTGCCTCAATTATATCCATTTAAAATAATACTTAATCTTTGGACATCTATTTTCTCTTCAACTACACTGGAAGCTCCTTGGAGAAAAGGACCATGTGTCCTTGTGCTTTTTGTTGCTAAATGCACAGTACCTCCTTGCAAACAGGAGGGGTGGAAGGCTTCAAAGAATACTGATGACTTTGACATTGTTCTGGCAACAACTCACATACGCAAGAAATTCTATTGGAGCCACTAGGAACTGGGAGTGTAAATCAATGGTAGAGAGCCAGTCCATGTGTGATGATCATGGACTCAGTCCCCAGCACCGCCCCCCCAATAATTAATGTATCCAACCACCAGCCAAATGGGGCCAATGAGCACTTGAATGGATGGAACTGAGACGTGTGTTATTAGATACTTTTTTTTGTATGAAAAAAAGAATTTAAGATATTTTATCAATGACTTACTACTGACTTATTTTGGATATATTAACTAATACAAAACATTTAAATTAAATTGTTTTATTACTTTAACAGTTACTAGAAAATAGAAAATTACGTATGTGGTTTGCTTTCTATTTTTATTGGCCGGAGTTGGCTCACGGAATGGAAAGCTGCCATCGCATCTTTATTCAATCAGACTTCATTCTCTGAGCACTTGTTACTCACAGGGCTCTTCCTTGGGGGCCTCTTTACAAAAATCCCCCTGGGGGACCTCTCAGGTCCTCAGGCAGCAGCAGTGCCGGGGCCGAGATAGACTTCAGTTGTGGCCCTACCACCAAAGGGCTGCGACCTGGCCCAGGGGGTCACGCTGGAGAGCCTGCTGTACCCAGAGCCCCCAGCGAGCTATGTTCCAGCCGGCTTCGGCTGGATGGCGGAGGGAGGTGGAGGGCAGCACCGCGACGGAGGAGAAGTCCTTGAAGGTCTCAGACCGCGGGGCCCTTCTGGGGCCCGGTGGGCAGCGGTAGCTTTAGGAGACTAGCACTTTCGGGCCAGGAAAGGGGAAGGCCCCTGGGCCCGGCCTTCGGGCACCCACGCGTCGCCATGGCAACCTCGGAAAACCCACCCCCACCCCAGGCCGGGAGACACCTCCCCAGCCGCTCCGCGCTCCGACCGCTTCCCCGGAGCCAGCGCCAGCGTTACTCCGCGCCCCCCCCCCCCCGCACCCCGGGCCCTAGCGCGCTCAGGCTCCCACCGCACCACCGACCAGGGACCCCGGGACTCAGATCACAGCTCGCCTCACCCGGCCTCGCGCAGCGCCCACAGCCCGGCTGCGCGGATAGCGCCGCCCCCACCCTCCCGGCGGGCACAGACACCCACACCCGCTCCGCAATGATTGGCCCGCCTCCGGCCTCGCGCCGCACAGCTGCTGATTGAGCAGCAGTGAACCGCTCCTTCTCTGATTGGTCGCTCTTTGTGGCTTGCCCGGTTCTTGGGCTCCAGCCTCTGATTGGCCCTTGTTGAGGGTCTGCTAACCTCCGATTGGTGCAACTCTGGGCTCCGAGCTCTGATTGGAAAGTGACGGCAGTTGCGGCCGACTGGGTTACAGTCATCCAATCACAAAGGGCCCAGCCTTTGCGGCCGCACCTGGAGTAGATGCGGAGATGGATGTGCTGGGGAAGGGAAGAGGCGTTTCCACGCACATTGGCTGGGAAGACAAATAACAAGTAACTCTAATAGTGTGACAAGCGAGGAGCACATGCAAGGGACTGAGGGGAACAAGCTGGGGACGGGACTGACCCGGAGCCTGGGAGACCCTTCTAAACTACAGCCTGAGCGAGAGGGAGAGTTCCTGAAATGGAGAGGTGGAAGGATAGAGAACAGAGTACACTGGGAAAGCTGGGGAGAGGAGAGAGGGCAATGCAGCTGAGCCAGGATAAGAGGAAGACTACAAGGAGATGGGGCTAGGAAGGCCAGAGGAACCAGGTGGCTGCGTAATCGTTGTGAATACTCATAAAATATTATCTTCTGCACACTGTATGTTCATCTCATATTTGTTTTTAGAAGATGGGGTCTCTCTATGTAGTCCACGATGGTCTGGAACTCCTGGCCCCAAGTACCCTGTCTCGGCCTTGAAAGTAGCTGGAACAGCAGCTGCACACCTCCTGTGCCCAGCATCACCCTACTGTTCAGCACTTGGATACATAGCAGCAGCAAGCAAAAGACAAACATCCCTGTCCTCATGGAGCTTAACTCCTAGTGGGGATAGACAGGTAATAATAAACATAATAAGGAAAAGTATGATGTTAGAAGGTGATAAGCACAATGAGAAAAAAAATCTAAAAGGGAGACCAAGAGTGTCAAGGGATTGGAGGGCAAGTTACACTTTTGAAAAGGGGACTGAGGGCCTGGGGATGTAGCTCAGGGTTAGAGGTCTGTGTAGCATATGTAAGGCTCTGGGTTCCATCCCCAGCATTGCAAGAACAGAATGGAATGGGAACATGAATGGGAACCAGGAGCCGGGAATAGGAATAGGACAGGAGAGTAAATGTCACTGAGAAAAGACATTAGGTGGAGACTTGTAGGAGGTGAGGGAGTGAGCTACAAGGGGATCTGGGGAAGTTTATTCCATAAAGGGAAGAGGCAATGCAGAGGCCTTAGGGCCTGAGTGTGCTGGTGAGTCTCAGGAACCTTAATGGTGATGGTGTGGCTGGAGCAGAATGAACAAGGGAAAAGTAGGAGGTGAAGTCACAGGGTGGGGGCCTGGTAAGACTCTGCAAAGACCTTGGCTTGTAGGGTTTGAAAGGGAAAGCCAATGGAGGGTCTTAGCAAAGGAATGATGACCCCAGATTTCTCATTCTGCTGGGCCGAGAAGGGACTGCGGGGTGGAAGGAGACCAGTTAGGAGGCTGCTTCGGTAATCTGGGTAAGAGGAAGTGGAACCAGGAGTAGAGTGTGGCTGTGGAGATGATAAGGACGAGTGAGACTATGTGTATAGTCTGAAGGAGGAACCAGCTGGATTTGCTGCTGGAGGAGCTGTGAGGAGTGAGGACAAGAGAGCAGCAGAGGAATCCTGGGCCCAAACATGTGCAAGGAGAGTCCCATCCACGGAGATTAGAAAGACTGTGTGTGGAGCAAGGAAAATTCAGAGTATAGTTTCGGACACATTAGGGTTAATGTATCAGCCCCAGTGGCTGTTCTGTGGAGATGTCATCAAATCTGCTGGATGTTTGAGGTTAGGGCTCAGAAAAGGGGTGAGCTAGAGAGGTTAATGTGGGTGTTTTCAGTATATGGGTGTTTAAAGCTATGAGACCAGTTGAGCTGACCAAAGGAGTGACAGAGAGAAGAGGACCAGAGCCCAGGCCACTCCAGATGTGAGTTCATGGAGGAGAGGAGTGCTAGGTCCATTTCAACCCCCCACATACTCCAAAGTGAATATACATATCCCCTCTGTGCAGATCAGAAAACTGCAGTGGTTGCTTCATGACTTGCCAGAGTCGAGTAGATGGTAAGTAGCAGGGCTTGAGCTCAAGTACTCTGGGAGACTTTGGCCGTCTGGCTCAGAAGTCACACCTCCTTCTCTTACAAACCCGCAAGCAGAGTGAAATATGAAGCAGAGTGACATGCTTTCCGATTTCCATGTTCAGAAGACTGTGTGTGGGTCGGCTTGGAGCAGGCCAGGTTCAGGGGCTGGAGGTCATCAGACTTGCAACAGTTCAAAGCTGCTGATAGTCAGAACCAGATGGAGGGACTGGAGAGAAGTGGGAAGGTTGCAGAGACTTTCTGCTGCAGGTGAAGGATAAGGATGGGAGATTAATTGAAGGTGAGTAGGGAGGAAGAGTGAGGTTGCTGACTGGGCAACAGAGTGAATGGAAGTGTCATTAGTTGAGGTAGAGCTCATTAGAAGAGGCCCCTTGGGATGGCATAAAATCAGTCATAGCAATGCCTAGGGATGTGTGCAAAGCTGACATACAAAATTTGTTGAATTGAATCTAATATAGGATTTGGGAGCATATATAGCACAGTCCCATGATTTTAAGAGGCCACAGGAAATCATCAACAAATCATCTATTTTATGCATAAAAATCTCTAAGGAAAGATTTTTTAAAAGTTGCCCCTGATAAACCATTTTAGTGTTCTTTTTGTTTTTGTTTGTATGTTTCATTCTAGTGTTTAGCAGCTCTTGTGGCTGAGAAATTTTCCTGCCATAAAAAGCTAATCACAGGGCCGGGGATTTAGCTCAGTGGTACCACCACCTGCCTCACAAGCGCAAGGTCCTGAGTTTAATCCCTGGTGCCCCCCCACCCCAAAAGCTAATCACAGCTATCGGGGTTCACTGGGAAAGATTTATTTGTTTTATATATGTATACAGATATATAAATGTGTTTCTATATTATATAATGCCATAAATTTATATAATATATAATTGTTAATGTAATAAGAAATTTATACAACATATATGTCTATTATATGTATATAATGTTTATATAAATATATATTTTTAAAGTTTTTCTTTTTTTTTTTGATGCTGGAGATCGAATATAGGGTCTGGTGCATGTGCTCCATCAGAGCCACAACCCCAGCCTGTTTTTGGTCTGAGATAAAAGAGGTCTCATTCACCAATAAAGACAACTTTTAGGGCTCTGCAGTGACCTTAATACACTTCTCGGGCTTTGCTGCTTTTTCCTCCTCTCCGTGTGTGCTCTCCTTGCATGCACTCCATCACTTAGCTACAACCCCAGCCTGGATTCCTCCCTCACTCTTCCTATTTGTGGAAATTCCTTTCAGCTCTCAAGGCCATATGATTCCTCCTCCATGAAGTACATCCCAATTTTTTTTTTTTTTTTTTGGTACCGGGGATCGAACTCAGGTCCTTGTACTTGCGTATCAGGCACTGAAACCACTGAGCTAAATCCCCGGCCCTACATACCAATCTTGATGCCTCCACATTGGAAGTACTTTCTTGGTGATCAAATAACATTACTCAGCCTTCCATGTGACCTCTAATGCTTTTGACATGCTACCACGCCTTCATGTTTGTGTCTGAGTACCATAGCCTACACTGATATTGATGCAGTGCTTATGGTCTCCTGGCCCAGACAAAGCATGCACCCTCAAAGAGTATACAGTGAAACAGGGAGGGGTGCTTTACAGAAAAGACCAGTTCCCTTTAAGACAGCAATCCCTAATCTTTTTGACACCAGGTTCCAGTTTCATGGAAGATAATTTTTCCATGGACCAGGGACAGGGGATGGCTTTAGGATGACTTGAGAACTTTATATTTATTGTGTGCTCTATTTCTACTACTATTACATTGTAATATAAAATGAAATCATTATACAACTCATAATTCAGAATCAGTGGGAGCCCAGAGCTTGTTTCCTGCTATTAGCTGTTCTCATCTTGGCGTAATGGGAGACACTGACACCTGAAGTGTGGTGTTTATATCCAGTCTACTATACAATGTTGTTTTGGTTTCTGTCATTGCAGAAGAACCTGCTTCACAAAGATAGGAAATGAAAGCAGAATTTTTGTGGCAATCTCAGGATATTTTGCCTTGATTTTAATCCAGAATGTATGGAGATTGGAAGTTGTCTCAAGCATACTTTTAAGGTCACCATCATTTGTGATCTTAAGCACCTGATCCTTTTCTAGCACAAAAAAAAGGAGATTTACCTGGCTTATTCACAAATGGGTCAAGGATCTGTTCCTTCCCCTATCAGGGGTCTTTTGTGGTTGGAAAGTAATGGTCAAATTCTTTTGAAAGCTGAGATAGGTGATCATGCACCAGCTGGAAGAACGAAGGCTCTGGCTGTCTCTTTCAAAATCTCTGCTAGTGTTCAAAACATGTCAAAAGTCTCAATATATTCACTCATCACCCCCATAATTACGGTTTGGCTTTGAATCCATCCTCTTTATCTGCCTACTTGAACACAGTGGTCATTCTTCCCTGAAGTGGCAGATTAAGTCTGTTCAGCAGGTTGAATTTGTCACGTAAGTAATCATGTTGTGCAGCTGATACTGTGTCATTAAAATGACCTGCCAATGGTGACTGTTCTTCTAAAAGAAATCTCTTGAATGGCTCTCATAAGGCAAAAACTTTGGCCAGTGATC